TACAGTGTTCCCATTGTTAGCTTTGAAATCATTGAGTTTCTTAATAAAAAAAAAAAAAAAAAAAAAAAAAAAAAAAATCGCTAAAATGTTACAAATTAAGAAATCGATAATAAATCAGTTCCCAAATTTGGGTTTCTAGATGCCCATATTCAGAGGAGGATCACATTATTCAAAATTTGATGGCTCTAGGTACCACTGTTTTATCACAATGCGAGAAACATACATATATTTATGCAGATTCTTCATTATTTAATTTCTTTAAATATAATACAAGGCTGTAATATTTGGTGGCAACAGTTTCAAAAGTGAATTGATGCAAAATGCCAAAGCGAAATTAATAGCTCTACTGAGCTAATGCTCCTTTGCGCTAAAAACTTAATTCTTATTAGTCAGTGTATTATATTCACATTTTAAATTGCACCTTGTAAAACGTTCATCACTTTGATGATAAGAATGCTATTTTTTTTTTAAAATTTTGATATAATGTATTATACAGTATATATAAATATTACTTGCTTGTTAATGCTTATCAAAAAGATTGACTGCTCTTTCAAAAATTCCTGTCATTAAAGCATTTTGCTTAGTTCTACTTTGACGAGCAGTAAATCGGCATTCTTAACCTTTTCCTGGGGGGCTGGGGCATATGTGTTACCCACATTAAATAAAAACTAAACTCGGTGGCATAAACAACTTTTAGACAGCCATGGCTGGCAGTGCCCCAATATCTGCTTTCTAGACCGTGGGATCCAGCGTGCTCGTGCATCTTATCCTTATCAGCTTGTTGCAGGACCCCCAGTGTTTAGTCCCCAAGCCAAGTCTTGGTACTCATTTTATCAACACACTCCAAGGATGAAAGGCTGAGTCGACCTTGCCCAGCCTGGAGATTGAACCCCAGACCTGTGGTGGTGCTGCTGTGTGATGCGCTAGCCACTGTGCCTCCACTACTTTAAATAAGGCTAAAAATTTCAGTTCACAATGGAAATTTAAAATTTGCTACTTAATATGGAGTAGGAAATCGATCCTTGATCATTTGCTTTTCTGTTACATGCTGACTGAATAATTGAATACATGGCTTCAACACATAAAATTAGTCTGTAAAGCCCACATGAAAAAGCTAAAGAAGCATAACTTTCTGAGTGCTAACAGTGTGAGCTTCATGAAACCAACCACATTTATTGTTAAAATCCACTTTATACCAAATTAGGACCCTTGTTCTAAGATAAACAGATTGCAATGTTAACAACTGGCATAAGTAATCCTTGTATTTACATTAGCAAGAGAATGAATAGATGACAATTTCAGAACTTTTTACTGACATAGGCTTGCAGTTTGAGTGATTCTACTGCAGTACAGCTTCTATTGCATGCAATAAACGGAAACACTGAAAATTATACATTTGATAGAGGATTTTAAACTAAGACTCTATAAACATGGTTATTTTACATCTAAGTCATGGTGTGCTTCTATTAGTTCTTAAATGGATTTCTTGATTATGGCAGAAATGACATGAATGGGAAGAAGTAAACAAAAAAAAAAAAAAAGTTATCAAATATAGCAGTTCCTATAGTTAATACTGAAATATTACAGAGCTCTGTTTAAAAAAAAATACTTTAATCCCGCATACTTTAAATACTATGGGTTTGTATCTATTAATAGACTGGTATTTTCTGAAGAAAATTTTTGATAATTACATGATTTCTGTATGTTAGTTTACAATAAAATAAATTCAACTATAATTTTACTTATAAAATTTTCTCTACATATAATAAAAGAAAGAGTCTGTGTGTGCGTGTGTGTCTTTAGTTCGCGCTGCGTGTAAGCTAATAGACGCACTGCTATGAAATTTGGTACACAGGTGCATCTAGAGCCAGTGCACCTCGAAGCGATTTTTTCGAAATTCGAATTAAGATATTTTATTTTATGTTTTGTAATGAAATCGCGTCATTTTGAGACATAATGGGCTATAGAAAAGTGAGAGTTTACTCTACACACTCCATTTTCACATCGTCATGAAACATAGGGACTTGGCTATTTTACGAACTTAAAATAAATTTTCTGTTTCAATAAATCGATTAAATACGAACTTATTTAACAAAGGGAGCTTAACACCTTTTCAACAGGATTTTTTAAAAAAAGTTTATTTTAAAAAATGTACAGTTTATTTTTCTTTGAATTTTGGACACATTAAACTTTCATCCTTGCGACTGCTTTTACAAAAAGAATTTGGGAAAAATGATAACATTTTGTATTTTAAAATATTTTTTAAATAAAGCTTCCGAGTACACTTCTCACATCTTTAAAAATGTGACTTTGGCAACAATTTTCCCGTCTTATTGTTGTTGATAGATTTTTGATGAAATCACATCATTTTGAATAGTTTCATTCTTTTAGAAATGGTTTTGGCAACAATTTTTCATCGTATTTCTTATGTCACTGTTTTTAAGAGATTGGCATATTTCATTGTCATTTTTATATAGTATATATAATACATTTTTATTGAATTTTTTTTTTTTTTTTTTTTTGATAAAGTTGTTTTGCAGGGTAAAATTCTGCTGGGAATTTTACGTTTTTTGAGTTGCTTTCATGTTATTCTTTGCTTATTTCACTGTTTGTAAGATATTGAAAAGTTTAGCATGATATTTTTTCTTCAACGGAAAGTTGGTTAATTTTTTTATTAGGATAATTAATATTTGTATTAAGGGATATAGCTTATTTCATTGTAATTTTTTTCTCTTGAAAATATAAGATAAAATATCATTAATTTTATGTTATTTATTGCTCATTTCACTGTTTTAAGATATTGAAAGGTTTTGAGTGATTTTTTTAGGAAACAAAGTTCTTAACCTCCTTTATACCAGTTGAGTTATTAAGATTTTACAAAGGGAAGTTGGTTAATTTATTTATTAGGCTAATTAATATTTGTATCAAGGGATATTTGCTTATTTCATTTGTTAATTTTGTTTCTATTTTTTGTATAAACTTTTTTTTAGTTTTTCTGAAATTGTCTGCAGTGGTAAATTCTGTGTTTCTAAATTTAACTTTGGTGTTCCCTTCAGCCATTTTTCCGGTAAATTTAAAAGCCAGACAAAGGCTGGCAGAGAAGCTGCTAATACATATATAAAAATTTATGTAGAATTTTAGGTATTATCGCAACCACCTCAGTTGAATCACCAATATCAGGCAACCTTGCGCGTAATGGTTTTTTAGGTAACCATATCCACTAACAGTTGCAATCTGAACATTCACTGATTACCTTTTTTTTTTCTGTAAAAAATCGTCAAACTGCGTGAAGTGGTTGTGCTAATATGCAAGTACCAAATTTTAAGATAACATTATATTAAAAAAACAAAATATATATATATATATATAATAACATTAATAAGATTTGATACAATGTAAAAAAAGTATTATATCTAAAAAAAAATATTAATTAATATATATCAAAAATATAATATCAATATTAATCATAAAAATGATCAAAGAATGATAAATGATCGATGAATAATCACTTAATGTATATAATTCAAAAATATAATTTATGAAAACTATTTATCATATATATTTGCCTATGTTAATCGAGAATCATAAGACCCCCCCCCGCTTCATCTTAAGGAATACAATACAATATTCTTTCATCACGGCATAAGAATAAAATAAAATTTTTAAAATGCAATAAGTAAAATTTACCTTTTGGTTATGGTTCTTTCTTACTTCTGGTCTTCCATAGCTTGAAATGGGATCTAACCCACCCGTTCGTTCTACCCTCTATAATACATTAATTATTCATGTTTCATTACATTAAATAAAATATCACAGATACAATATCAATGAGAATATACACCCATTCATAAACATCAAGATACATTTAAAGAATGTATAATTAGTGTTCATTATAACATCTAACACCACTACTATATAAACATTTAATTAATTAAAACACTTCTTGTCGAAACAGTAAAAGTTTATTCTATCAAATTTCTTAGTAAGTACAAATAAACAGTTTTCGGTTTTTTTTTCTTTTGTTTGAAAATAGCTTACCTATTGAGGTTTATCTTATGCTTAGTGCCGTACATAAGTCATACTGAACATTTGTGGGTAATTATGTATCTAGCAGTTTTCTTTTTAGTAGTATTTGAGAAGAACACAAACTTCAGTTCAAAATTTATCTGTTTGGCAAATTTATCAATGGCAGATTGGCTTGCAGTCTTTTCCTTGCTTAATCTGGTCAATATTCACATTTTTTCCGATTTTCTTATCAGTGTTTTAACTGATCAGCAGCATGAGGGATTATGACATCTTTTTTTTTTTTGTTTTTTTTGTTTTTTTTTTTTTTTTTTTTTTTTTTTTTTCATTTATCATGACACAGCTTTTTTTTTTTTTTTTTTTTGTTTTGTTTGTGTCACACTTCGAATTCTTATCATTCCTAGCTTTTTAGAACTAACCAATGTCCATTTGAGATCGTTTTTTCTTAAATTTTTATTCGAAAATGAAACAGTGTACACATCAACCATTAGAACCGTAATTTAAAAATACATTCAACCTGGCAGGGGTGCTCTCCTTCCTACATCTTATCCTGCACACAACGGGGCATTGCAGGCATCTTCTTGCCCTTGTTGTTTTGATTCTGCAGGCACAATGCCTTTAAAAACACCTTTTGGCCCATGGTTAAAAGTAGTTACCCCCTCCCCCTGATCTAGATAAACATGGCTATTGAATTAAGATATTAAAACATTTATTATTTTAAGAAGATTAAAAAATTCCAAATTAATTTAAATTTGTAGCATCATTACATTAATTTCGGAAGAGGCTACATGAAAAATCAGCACTGCTTTCACCATGATTCAAGCTCTGGACTTCTTGGGATTAGATGTACTTTCAGTCACACCATAAAGGCATACAGTATGAAAAGAGAAAATTTCTTCCAAAGGCAGTTTATGATGCATGATTCAGTTTGTTGAACTATTTATAGTATGATCCCAATTTAAAATATATTACTATTTAATTAAGATATTTCCAAAAGATTATGTTCTTTGGACAATTTCATTTTGTAATTTTCTTACATTTTTAACCATCTTGAGTTGAGTTCTTACATTTTTATACTGTCTAAGTAGGGTAATCTTGAGTAGGGAAAGAAAGTTTTAATTTATCAAAGCATTTTTTAACATGATGAAAATAAAATCAATAATTAATATATATATATACAGTACAGAGTCCGTAATCTAGACTCGTCGGGACTTCGACGATTCTGGATTAGGGGTTTTTCCAGATTATAGATCATCAATTTAAATCTGGTAAGATGGCATGCAGAAATTATACAATTAAAAATATGAAACCGTAGTTTATGAAATAAAGAGCATTTAATGATCTAAAGGGTATCAAAATTTACAAATTAAAAAAAAAAAAAACGGCTTAATATTTATTTGTTTACTTTATTAAACATTTCTTTCAATGTAAGTTGCTTAAGTTGCTTCACTTTTTGTCCTAATACTTTCTCTTTCATTCTATAGACGGACATAATTTCTTGTTTCAGTTGCAAAGTTCCATTTTGTTCAAGTCCTGTAATTGCTGTGTCGAGAATACGACTAACTTGTCAATTCGAAAATTGTTTTCGTTTTCAGTAACCACTCTGTCACTTTCTTCACCATCGGTAGCGTGCATATTCTCTGGATCTGGAAGCCATACTACAGATTTTGCCATCGTCTGTTAATTCGATTGACGATTGGAACATTCTCATCACCAATGAAAAAAAACTTCTGTTATCACCTTACATTCATTAACACTTCTCCACATTTCTTTACAAAATCAATAACTGGTAAATTTCACGTTTGAGTTTGCGATATTCCGAAAACCTTCAAATTCGCAGCTATCATCTTCATCATCCTCACCATGAAATATGGTAGCTGACCATAAATTAGGCCAAGCATTTTTTAATGTATCTGGAGACACATCCTCCCAACGCGCACGCGTAAAGCATACTACAAAATAAATAAATAAATAAAAAAAAAAAAAAAAAAAGAGTCTGTGGCTTTGAGGTCCGGATTATAGATTATTTTGGATAATGGACGTCCGGATCACGGACTTTGTACTGTACTATTGTATGGATAAACTTAATGTACCATATATATTTAAAATTAATACAAATATTAACTGATTAAACATGGGCTGAATCTTCACATGAAGTTATCCATATGTTTTCGGTAGATTGAGATAATTCAGATGAAATAAAATTTAACATGAAAAATAATGCTGAAAAGCCATTAGCGGCAGCAGAATGAAATTTTCACAATATAAGTTTCCATAATTCAATATGTATCATTTATTGCTCAGCAACACTTTAATTAGTAAAAGCTACAAATTAAAAAACAATAGACATGGCATTTACCAGAAATCTGTAAGATATAAAAAAATGGGGGGGGGAAGGAGAATTGACAGCTTTGCATTAACGATTTCAATCAATTTAATGGACAGATTTGACACTGCCTTTTTTAGCAGCAAAAAATATTTTGCCATGCCAAAAAATTAATGTAAGAATATAAATATTTAACCACCCTATTAAATTTTAAAATTATTTCTTTTTTCAAGATTGTGATAAATATTTACCTGTTCAGAATTAAAACAGCTATACATCATTTTATAAAATGATCCACAGATAATTCTCAGCAGATAACAGTTATTTTATTAATGACGTCTTTCAACCAAATATAGTTAAAAAAAAGATCAGTGTTTTAAAATAAATGAGGACACCAAGAGATTCCCAAAGAAATCTGATTATGACGATTAACATTACCCACACATAAATGTTTTAATCTACATAAAAACTTACGACAAGCAATCTCAAAATAACACTAAAAAAGTAACTAAAAATTTAAGAACTATTTATAGAATCTTATTAAAATACAATATTTGTGGTATTTACAGAATTTTTCATATATGAGGAAAACAGTCTTTTAACTTGTTACTGCAAAGAATTTTCACCGTTTATAAGAAGTTAAAAACTTACCTTTCCAGCTTTGCAGTGGATTGCAGCTACATTATTTTTGTCTTTTGAGAGCCAGCTATCCACATCTTCACAGAAAGGCTTAATAAGTTCTAAGCTTGGAGGATTGTGATCCTCAAAAGGATATTGGGCAACTCTTTGATGGAATTTATTTGAGTCATAATTTCTCTCTGTGCATCTAAAAGATATAAAAAAAGGATGAAAAATTTTAAAATTTAAGAATAAAATTTTACATAATTAACAAGTTCAAAATAAATACATTCATGGCAGTAAATTTATGTTATTTTGTTATATGCATCAACTTCAATTTAGAATTACTCAGAAACCAAGACAAATGTAATTATTTACATTTTAACAAGAAACATATATATTAAATATAGTTATACAACATTAGAATTATATTAAATTATAAACCCTTTCATATTAAACTACAAATAAGTTTTAAGGAAGATTTTTGAAATAGCATTACGTAACACTTTTTAACGTAAATCAAAATATTTAAAATAGAAGACTTACAAATTGTAGATTTTGTAGTGAGAGTCATGTTTTGAATCTAAAAACCTGCAAAATATGTTTCGACAAATCAGAAAATATATAAGAATTTCATTTAAAATTGGGGGGGGGGCATACAAAGTGTATAAAAATTAATAAAATAAAATAGGATAATCAAATAAAATTAGAGTTATAAGTCTGAATCAATAGCATGATTAAAAAAGTAGCTTACCATTACAAATAAGACTTACAGTTTAAAAATGAACACAAAATAATTCAAATAGTAAGTTGCGAAGTATTTTTAAAATTATTTCTCTGTAATAAACACTGCCAGATAAAATAAAAGGTTACCATGTTGTTTAGTTTCCAATTAAAAAAAAAAATGTTTTAGGTATGCTATCTGAGTCATTTCTAAAGCTGCCATGAGTTGAAAATCAGCAGTGAATTTTGGTTGAAGCGTTACTGTGGAGTGGAGTTGAAGTGTTACATTCGGGAAGTGACATGCCCATATTCTATGAAAGATTAAGTTATTCAAATTTTGATGGCTCTAGGTACCATTGTTTTATCACGATGCGAGACACATACATACATTTATGCAGATTCTTCATTAAATTTCTTTAAATATAAGACAGGGCGATAATATATGGTGACAAAGATTTTAAAAGCGATACAGGCTTTTAATGTTTTTGACACAAAATTCCAAAATAAAATTAATAGTCCTTCAGGGCAAATTGGCCCTTTGGACTAAAAAAAAAAAAAAAAAAGGAAAAAGGTGGTAGCTGTCCGAAGGTTTGGATATTAGATCATTTCAAATATTGGATGTCAGGATTTTGGACTTTGTACAGTATATATATGTTAATGAAATTTTATATTCATTTGAGCCCACTAGTAGATGAATGACTAAGACTGCTGAACACTGGTAGTTCGATTCCCCAGTGAATAGGCTGGCAGACTAGAAGTTTTTATGGTTTTCCCCCATGTCTAATGTAAATATAAACTAGTTTCCTTCAGAATGTCCTCTTCTTACAGAGGCATCGCCTCTTACACAGAAAGTTTTCATGTGCTTTGTTATATTCATACAACCTAATCTAACCATATTTTTTAATCTTGTATCAAATGCTAATGATGGGCATTGCTATACAGTTATTAAAGACTAATACCTCCAACATGTCTCAAATCCAAAACTTAAGGTCTCTTAGAATATTTTAAATTTTTTAAATATGAATAATAATTAGAAGAAAAAAGAAATATTTAATAATAAAAGTTTTAAATTATAGCAAAATCTAAAATTCCAAACACCATTTAGAAATGATATTTATTAAGATACGAATTAAATATTTAGCAAATGAAATCTTGCTAAAAATCAGTTAAAATGCTTAAATCTTGAGATTCATTTTTATAACCTTAATAAAGGGAAAGAAGTTAATAACAGTTAAAATTTTATTATAGTCCAATTTATTATTATTAAAGCAACTATATAAGAGTGAATATTATTTCAATGGTTAACATACATAAATAATGCACGCAGAATGCTAAATTCTCTGCAAATACTAAAAAAAATCAAATTGTTTATTTTGTGTGCCCAAAAAAAAAAAAAAAAAATTAAAGTGCGGCCTTCACAGTATCCATGAGCTTGATAATGAAAAGCGAGATACCAGTAAAACTGCAACAGCTGTGTTTCCAATGAATCTATTGCACTTCAATAAAACTTACCTTTTTGATTTTTTAGGTTAAATGTCTTTTTTTTTTTTTTTTTTTTTTTTACATTAGCGTTCAAAGACATGGAGGAATGATTAAAAAAAAAAAGAGAAAATTTGTGTTTTCAAATCTCAAATCCTTTTTGTGGAATATGGTAATTTAAGCTAAAAAGCAAAATAAGCTAAAAATCCGAAACACACACACAAAAATTTAGATAGCAGAAACATAAAGTTTCTAACCAAAATTATGTGATAAGAATACATGTACACAGCCATATGTTTTAACTTAGAATAACATCTACAAATTGCACAATCTAGCCAGCAAAGGAATCTACGAACTACACACACCTCCCTTTAATAAATTAACATAACAACAATAAATTTCAAAAAATACCATGTACACAGCATTCTACAAAATAAAAACAATAAAATAAAATGCACTTCCCCATGAATGGAATTAGCTTTTTCGGAACAGCAGAAACGTACCAATTTAACATGCCTGCCACGTAACTCTGCTATCAGTACTTTATATGACAGCCAGACTACACTATCCAGAAAATCCATACTATGGTTCACAAATATATGTTCAAAACCTTCTTTTCCTAAATCCTTGTAAGATTTCCAGCCATCCGAAAAAATACTTGTACAAGGCTCAATCAACTCTTTAATACAACTGCATCATTTCTTTATTTCTATCATGCACAGCCACTAAAAATAATCTCCCAGACCCTCCTGCAACCACATCTCTCATTGCAACATAGGCCATTTCAAAACATGTACGACGCGAACCAACGAGCAATTAAAACACTCCAGCAAAAGAGTATTCAACGTCAAAAGGGTTGTCATACAACATGCAATCATGCCAAAAACCAGCGCAGAACACATATCACCACATTTGGTGATCTTAGGTCGCATATAAGAGTAGAGCCCTACGCATTTTAAAACAATACATATACACATACACATACTGAAAAAACATAGTCATCACCTAATTAATTATGATCAACAGAATAATTACTATATTTGCCGACATATAAGACACACTCTTTTCTTTGAAAATCGGTCTGAAAAACGGGGTGCATCTTATACTGCAATATTCAGTTTATTCGGAGTTATGCAATTTTTTCTTGTGGAGTGTGGGAATATTACAGCTTCTACTACTCAATTTTCTTATATTTCTCAGCAAGTTATGGGTAAAAAACAATATCAAACATTGCTATAACATAACATACAAGCTACGTGTGATTGCACACGCTAAAGAATATAGAAACTGGGCTGCAGAGAGGCATATCAGGCCACCCCCAACTGAGAAAATAAGATCTTGGTGGAATCAGGAAGAGATCGTAATCCACAATTACAACAGAGGACAGTTTCTTGTATGACGACTTGGATGCTGATTTAAAAGAAGTTTTCAGTGACTCTTGATTCAGCTCTGAAGATGAGTATCAGGGTTTTGATGAAGAAAATTAAAAGGTGTTCCTTCCCAGACAGTTTGGGTATTTGCTGAAAGTATTACAGTCAAAAGTCGTTGATCTGGACTCGTCGGGACTTCGATTCCGGATTATTGATTTTTCCGGATTATAGATAATCAGTTTAAATCTGGTAAGATGGCATGCAGAAATTATAAAATTAAAAATATGAAACCGAAACTTATGAAATAAAGAACAATTATGATCTAAAGGGTATTTAACATTTCTTTCAATTTAAGTTACTTCGTTTTATGTGATAATACTTTCTCTTTATTTCTACAAACAGACATAATTTCTTGTTCAGTTACAAAGTTCCACTGTTCAAGTCCTATAATTGCTGTGTCGAGAATACCGACTAATTTGTCAATCGAAATTTTTTCGTTTTCAATAACCTCTGTGTCACTTTCTTCACTATCGGAAGCAAATTATAATGACGAGGAACTTGATTTAAATCATATCAAAGACGCAGTACATCGAGATGAAATACTACATTTAGTAAGGAGTTATAAGCCAAATAAAATAAAAACATCTGCCCTGAAGATAAGGATAGTGCTGACAGATCAACTTCCAATTCATTGCATGCCGCGGCGTTTCTCCCCCCTTCCCGCTGCAGAGTAGCGTGAAATTGATAAACAGATTTCGGAATGGTTAGAGAAACAAAGGATATGCCTTTATCCATTTTTTGCAGCAATTCCACTTTTTGTTTGATGGACATTGAACATACTTTCGTTTTGTAGATCCTTTGGGAGCTCCAGCATCGAAAATTCTATTTGACATAATCGAAAGTTCAAGCTTACTTTTATAAAATTGCTCCTACAGTCTGCAAAATATAATAAGCCGGATCCAATTCGAAGATTAAGAAACAACGCAATCTGCAACATTAACTGTAATAGATAATTAGATTATTTTAGCTTGTACCGTCCGTTATACATTAAACGCACATGCGTAAACGTATTATGCGCATAAGCGTATGTGCAGCCGTAAAGGTCTTACGCGCATGTGTAAATGCCTATGACGCATGCACAGAAAGTTTGTAGCTTTGAGGTTTGGATTATAGATCATTCCAGATTATGGGTGTCCGAATTAACAACTTTTGACTGTATTTTATATTTGTATTACTTTATATTAAAATACTGTAAATTCATTATAATGATCAGTAATAAATTTTTATCCTTCAAAAATGTGCATAAAAAAGGTGTATGTTTTATACCCCGGTAAATACGGTAATTTGGTGATGACTATGTTTTTTCAGTACTGTATAAGCATATTTCAGTACTGTTAAGCCCAACATTTCTATTAGATAATGAGATAATGCCAGAAGAGTAAAATACCTTTTTTTTTGGGGGGGGGAAGGCTTGTTTCTGTTGCTTGATGCAAATCTTGCAACTTCCAAATTCCATAGCCTGGTTTGTTACTAAATTCTAAAAGTTTTGCTGCCTGTAAATTTCACTGGCTCTGACATTGGTTACTTGTTGAAATTAAACCTCATACCAAGTTTTCCGTGAGAGTAAGCCGCTAATCAGTATACAAGTTCTAACATGATTTTTCAGGGAGAGATTTAAATGCGCATGTGTAAAGCACACACACAAAAAAATAAATACATAAATAAGGAAACTAAAAATTAAATATACCGTAATTTCCGGAAGAAACGCCGCAGCGTTTACGTGTTTAAAACTTAAATTTTCAGCGGGTGCGGCGTTTCTACCCATGCGGCGTTTAGGTGCACTAAAAATAAAATATTTCCTATGATGGTCATTGTACATAGTTTGGATGGCCTTGTCATTGTGCATAGACTGGTGCTGTTTCCACACAAAAGTCACTCAGTTGCTTTTTGCGAACGTGTTATTATGTTTACTTTCTTTCCCTTGAACGGACCTACATGCCTTATTCACCCTAAACGAGATCTCAGAACAATAACATTCTTCCCCCTTTCAAATCAACATTCTCATCAATTTGAATAGTCTCTCTCCTCTGCCATTCGATGAATCTTCCAGGACCCATCCTCTCCCCACCCCTGCCTTTTCTGCAATTTTTTTCAAAGGCAGACACGACTCCACCTGCCTCGAAATAACGAACTCTGACGTATTTCCCCTTCAGCATGAATGGATTTTTCTTGGCATTCTGCCAAATACAGATCCCATCAGTTGGGTACAAGTACTTGTTATATAGTTTTTAATTAGGGATCGGAAAATTTTTTGAAAATGTCTCTAAACGGCACAGAAGCTATACATTTCTTACCTTTAATTTATTTTTGAGTTATGGTTTCATTTCATGCATTTTTCTTAACTGGTATGTCATATATCAGGACTTAGGTTGAGTTTTTGCATCTATACGGCCCACGACGATGTCACACGCAATTTAATCTATTGCGGCGTTTCTGTGTAATTTAAATTTTTCCCCCGCCATTTTTCTCGAGTGCGGCGTTTACGCTGATGCGGCCTTTCTTCCGGAAATTACGGTAAATAAATAAAAAAAAAAGTTGCCGATGGCTTTGATGTTCGGATTTTAGATCATTCCAAACACTGGACGTCCAGATCTCGGACTTTGTACTGTACCCTGAAAATAAGCCTTAAAAACCACTTTAATCTACTAACCCTAAAAACAATGTAATTTTTTTTTTTTGTTTGGAACACACACACGTACACAAAAAAAAAAAAAAAAAAACAATGTAAGATAATCTTATTTTCAAGGAAATGTTGTAATTGTTGTCAAACCAATATCTGCTATGTGTACACTTTTTGGAGATTTCGACATTTTGGCTATTAAAAATCATAAAAACAACCTTGTATTTAGCGTAAGTATATTGAAACACTCAATCGATTTCGAGGGCAGCTAAACGTCCCTCCTCATCAGGAGAAATACCTAGAAAGAAGAAAAATAAAGGGGAAGGAGTCTCAGAAACACGTGGTCCTTATCAGCACTGCATGTGGTTATAACTGGATTTTTAATCAGAGTTACACTGGCCGCCTACTTTTACTGAGCCAGCAAGAAAAATTAGCGAAGTTAAAATAGGGAGCGAGGGGCAACTGCACCTTCACACTCAAAATCTGAACTTGTTAAAATAGGGAGCGAGGGGCAACTGCACTTTCTCGCTCAAAATCTTAACTTAAATATACTTGGCTATTATAGCTAGTTTACTAACCAAATTTTCATATAAAGAGACTATGTGGCTACGCATTACCCGGTGAACTGTTATTGTTAAAACCAATACGCTTTGTGCATCAGCCAGAATATTGTGAAATAAAAACTGCTATGTGACAAACCTGCACACAGCAGATATTGGTTTGATTACAATGATATATTAATCAAGGAAATGCTGAAATCTATATATGACGACTTATTTAAGGCTGTCTTATAATTAATTCACTGTTAAAAACAAAAAACAAGCAATAGTAATAAGTTAATAATAACACTAAAAATAACAAATTATCTTACCTAACAACATCATCAATATGATTCCTATAAACGCCTTCCAATTTCTCTGCAGGATAGCCCATTGCAATAATATTGTTACGTATATCTTGATGACATTAAAGAAACAGACAACTTCACATAATTTGCAACACTGTATTAAAATATTATAGTAAAACTTCATGTAATACTTCGATGAAATAACAAACTTTTTAATATAATTCTGAGATATCAAACAAACAAAAAATCTTCTGCTCATTTCAGTATATATATTCATCAGAATGGGTAAATGATGAAACACTTTGCCCTTTCTTAAGCACACAACTAATTACTAACAGAATTTTTTTTTTTTACATAGTCAAAATTTTTTCACCAATCAGCATTGATAAATTTGTTTTAATTATGAAACTATAAAACAGATAAAAATGTGTACCTATTATACTGAAGAAATTATTAGCAACTATCAACATTTTTTATACATAATCAGGAATTTTGAATAAATTTGTAAACTGCTGCTCATTTTGAATGTCAGTTTAATTTCTGAGCTTTTATTGGTAACATTTATTAAATCTAATATCAGATTTCAATAAATAGTAAAATTCTATTTTCTGTAATAATTTTAATAAAAACAAGGGTTAGTGCTGAAAGAGAAACATGATTACTTCTCACTAAAAGATAAAACAATTCTCAAATAGATTCTTTAATTTACTTCAAGTAGAAATATTTGAATAGTGAAAAATCCAACTTCAAACATATTTACTTGATATTTCTTACAGAAGAAAAGTGCAATGAAATGTTAAAATTTTAAATAAAAATTTAAGAAATTATTTTCATCAACTTCAATGATTTTAACTTCCTGATACAGTCTTTTTCTATCAAATTATGTTTACTGATAAGCAAATGATGATTATTCCTCCTGTATTATATTTACTTAACGCAAATTTCACTTAGCACGCATAATGCAGTTATTTCAAATAGTGTAAAATTAATTGCATTATGAGAATTTTTTCCCAGATACAATTATTTATAACTATAAAAAGACATTATGAATTAAATTTTTATGTACAGTTGGTACTGATAATATATAATTCAGGCATCTGATTCTTATTTATATATTTTTTTATCATTATAATTACAATTCTGAAAATCATATAAGCAGCTAATGAATAACATTTTCAATGGTAAAAAAAGAATGCAGTCTTCATGCAATATACTCTCAATGTATTCATTTCTGGGTTAGTTTATATTTTAGAATCCCTATGGATTATTGCCAAGTTGTTTCATTTATGGTAACCTGAGTAGTTCAACGTTACGGAAAACCCTATTATAACATGATTGATTGTGTGATTGCAGTGAATTCGACCGATGGGAAAATATTTGTAAGAATTTATTCCTACGTTGGATGTCAGTTAGGAAGTATGCTGTATATTGTTTGCTTTGTATTGTAAAATGGCTGCCGGTTGTAAAGTGGGTGTTTGGTTGAATAGAAACTGAGAGCGGAATTTTTTTTTTGAAGTGGTTGAAAACAGAACTTTGTTGGACGTTATTCAACGGAATTATAAGTGTCCTGTTTGTACAAAGGAAATGCGTATGGTCGAACATAAAGATCGTTCACATGGCTTTGTTGCAAGAAAGGTTCAAATGCTCACTATATAAAGCATTCCATTAGAAAGGGAACATGATCTGAGGAAAGTTTTTGGATGCTGTTAAGAAATTTTGTGTGCCAAATGAATTTCTAAATAAGGTAAGTGGATATTTCCTTTGTGTAATGTGTAGATGCGATAAGATGCATTTCCTTTTTTATGTTATTTCATTGTTTGATTTAAAACCCAGTTTATTGACGTTATATATTTTTTGTTTGGCTCTAGTGCAGAACTGGGTGCTCCTTTGATTTTTACGCAAAAATAAATCGATGTATACATGAACAAAGCCCAGTCAGTGCACAATGCCGAGTTTGTGCAATTCTTTAATTTTTTGTTTTTAAAGTGAAAATAGATCGATGAGTACATGGAGACACTAATTGTTTGACTTGTTATTTTTATTTGTGTAGTGGCCATCTTGAAGTTGTGCCTTGCTGGCCAATTCCCCAATTTTTGCCAAGGGGCAACCTTAAATATATTTTTACCCACTTCTGAATAGGTAAATACATTTTTTCCTTTCTAAATATAAAATTTTCAGTATTTATTAACAAACAACAAAGTTATTTTGTGCTATATAAACTAAAATAATTATTTAACTTATGAATATGAAATAATTAGATCTAGAAATTAAAATAATCTTAAAGCTAAAGAAGTAAAGATTATTTGATATTTTCTGATTATATACATTTCCCCCCCAGAAGTACTGATAAAACAATGCACCATGTTGTTAAAAAGTACTTATGTGACAACCCAGAATGTCACCAAAAAGTATTTATGCGGCAATGCAAGTAAGTTGGTAGTATCATCCCAGATGACTTTTCACCTCTACAGGCATTTTTTCTAGAAAGATTGCAGACTACGATACTTCCTATCGGAATTTTAACATTTTAGCACAGTGATGGATAGCATACTGCAGTTTTTGTCATCTTCGGTGAAATCTTCGTCTTAGCTTTTTACACATTTGAAGCATAATACAATTTAAAGGCACCACATACTTTTACCTTTTAGGTTTCTCACACTGAAGTTGTGCAAATTTTTAACAAAAACATACAGCGTACATGGAGAGAACAACTGCACCCGCCCTCTCAAAAAAGAGAAAGATGTGCATCTTATATGAAAAAGAAGAATGCAAAAAATTATGCAGCACTAAATACATTGTTGAAATAGATGTAAATATATACAAACACTTCTCTTCAGAGTCGTCAATGAATTTGCGACTTTTTCTTGGGTCATAGATAATCAGAAGTACCAATTATTCAAACATTATAACCACAATTATATATATACTATATATACACAGCTTTCAGATTTAATGATCTGGAATTTGATTTGACAGATTTTGAAATAAGATAACATTCTGGACAATAATTTTTATCTCCAAAAGAGTTCAATGACACATATAATTAGCAGCTTTTACAGAATAAATTAATGTTCATTTGCAGCCTAAAGGCATAAAACTAAATAATCTATTTGTTTATGCCTATAGGCAGGCATAAACAAATAGATTACTATTTTTCATAATATTAAATAATAAACTTTAAAATATTTAATAATTAGCATTCATTAAAATAATACATAAATACATACACTTTATGCATTATACATAAAAAAGGTAAAAGTATAGTTTAGGGTACCCCTTGGCTAAACTTGGCGATTTTTGGCGGTATATAGATACCAATTTTTTGCAATTCTTAGACTCGTTACTTTGGCTTGCGAAGCCGCGATTTTTGCGCCAAAAATTGCCGCTACACAAAGCCAAAATAACAAGACAAACAATTGCACAAACTCGGTATCCATGTACACATCGACTTATTTTCACTTAAAAAAAATTCCCGAATTGCACAAAAATGGCACTCCTTTGACTTTATCCACGTACAAGTCGACCTATTTTTACCTAAAAAGTCAAAGGAGCACCAAATTCTACAATATAGGCAAACAAAAAATACATTTTAAACCACACAATAAAATAACACAAAAAAGGAAAACATGTTATACATTTAAAGCACTACCAAAAGCAAATATCATTTGCCATGATTTTTGAGTTCGCTTGGTACACCCAGAGTCACGTAAAAATCAAAATATTAATCATACTCAAATGACTTTATTCAAACCAGCTACTCTTTTTGATCGAACGCTTCACATAGTGACCATCTGAACTTTTCTTCCTACAAACCCATCTAAACGGTTTTTACGTTTGACTAAATGCATATCCTTCCTACATACAGGACACTTATATTGGCTACTAAGTAAACCTTCATTTACACACCAGTCAATTTAAAGCTCTTTTCCTCTTTCGCTCCAAATTGTATAGAAACTTCAAATTACCGTAATTTCCGGAAGAAACGCTGCAGCGTTTACGTGTTTAAAACTTAAATTTTCAGCGGGTGTGGCGTTTAGGTGCACTAAAAATAAAACATTTCCTATGATGGTCATTGTACATAGTTTGGATGGCCTTGTCATTGCACATAGACTGGTGCTGTTTCCACACAAAAGACCACTCAGTTGCTTTTTGCGAACGTTATTTTGTTTATTATTCACCCTAAAAGAGATCTCAGAACAATAACATTCTTCCCCCTTTCAAATCAACATTCTCATGAGTTTGAATAATCTCTCTCCTCTGCCATTCGATGAATCTTCCAGGACCCATCCTCTCCTAACCCCCGCCTTTTCTGCAATTTTTTTCAAAGGCGGACACGACTCCACCTGCCTCGCATTAACGAACTCTGACATATTTCCCTTTCAGCATGAAACGATTTTTCTTGGCATTCTGCCATATACAGATCCCATCAGTTTAGGTACAAGTACTTGTTGGATAGTTTTTAAGTAAGAAGGGAGCGGAAAATTTTTGAAAATGGAACCTAAACGGCACAGAAGCTATACTGCTGGTTTTAAGGTTAATGTAATTTCACGTGCTGAAGAAATCTGAAATCGAGCAGCAGCTCGAGAGTTTGAAGCGGACGAGAGACGTATTCGACATTGGAGAACTGAAAAAGAACTTCTTAAAAATATGCCACAACAGAAACGAGCCAAAAGAAGTGGTACTGTAAGGCGGCCGAATCTAGAGGATGACCTTGCAAACTGGATAAAGGAGCAACAAGGAAAGAAAATGGTAATTTCGACTGTAAAAATTCGCCTACAAGCAAAATTTATAGCAAAACGAATGAACATAAATGATTTCAAAGAGGTGCAGCAGATTTATGAAAAGAAAAAATATTTCTGTGCGTACTAGAATAACAGTCGGGCAACAATTATCAATGGACTGGCAGGATAAAAAGGCATCGTTTCTAAAATATGTGACAGATATTATTGACAAAAAAAAAAAACTTCTTCGGTCACAGATAATAAATATGGATGAAACGCCGTTAGCTTTAGACTCTCCTGCAAACAGAACTGTTGATGAAACTGGTGCAAAAACTGTATCTGTGCTTACGACGGGGCATGAAAGAACGTCATTTACATGTGTGTTAGCTTGTGCCGCAAACGGTAACAAGCTAATGCAATTGATCATTTTTAAACGAAAGACTATTCCGAAGGGAGATTTTCCTAATGACGTAATTATTTGTGCAAACAAGAACGGCTGGATGTGCGAAACAATCATGCATGAGTGGCTACAAAAAGTTTGGCAGTGTTGTAATAGGATTCTTTTTTCCGAACCAAAAAGGGTTATTGATTAATGGTTTCCATGCGTGCTCATTTGCTTGAGTCAGTGAAAACCAGATGTCAAAAACTGTCTACGACCGAAGCAATAATTCCTGGTGGTTTGACAAAAATCTTACAACCATTAGATTTGTCAGGTAATAAATCCTTCAAAGCTGAAATTCGAAAGCGGTGGGAGTGTTGGATGAGTGAAAGATTGCATACGTATACCAAAAGCGGTAAAATGCGTAGAGCATCTTATAAAAAAGTTGCAAAGTGGGTAGGAAGTGCGTTGAAATCGGTAAAAAAACATCGTCAATAATAGCAGGGTTCAAAGAAGCTGAAATTATATCCTTAGATAAAGAGACTGTAAACCAAGAGGATGAATGATCTGGAAGACTTGGACTTAGATCAGGATTTATTAATTCTTTTTAATTTAGATAGTGAAGAATCAGATTTTGATAGCTTCATTATGATGTATAGTGTGCTGTAATTCCTTTGTATTTGAAATTTTGTAAAATTTAAAATTTTCCTTTTGTCACCCAAATTTAATATTTCGTTGTTGCAGCATTTTTTATAATATAATCTGAGTATTACAAATATGGACTTCTTTAGTGGGTAATGATAAGTATATACGTGAAGGTAAATACAGTCAAAAGTCGTTAATTCGGACACCCATAATCCGAAAAGATCTATAATTCGGACCTCAAAGCTACAAACGTTCTCCGCATGTGTCTCGTTGACGCATGCGCGTAAGACTTTTACGTCTGCGAATATAGGTCTGCATACGAGCAAAATACGTTTACGAATGCGCGTTTAATGTATAATGGACGGTATAAGGTAAAAATTATCTAATTCAGTTAATGTTGCAGATTGCATTGTTCCTTAATCTTCGAACTGGATCCGGCTTATTATTTTTTGCAGACTGTTAGAGCAATTTTATAAAAGTAAGCTTGAACTTTCGATTATGTCAAATAGAATTTCTGATATATATTTACTAATATGTAAAAGATCTACAAAGTGAAAGTATGTTTTGAAGTTCATTAAACAAACAGTGGAATTGCTGCAGAAAATGGATAAAGGCATATCCTGTGTTTATTTAACCATTCCGAAATCTGTTTATCAATTTCATGCTGATCTGCGGCGGGGAAGAGGTGACGCCTCGGCGCGCGATGAATTGGAAGTTGATCTGTCAGCACTATCCTTATCTTCAGAGCAGATTTTTTTATTTTATTTGGCTTATAATTTCTTACTAAATGTAGTATTTTATCTCGATGTACTCCGTCTTTGATATGATTTAAATCAAATTCCTCGTCATTATAATTCGCTTCCGATAGCGAAGAAAGTGACACAGATGTTATTGAAAACGAAAAAATTTCGATTGACGAATTAGTCCGTATTCGCGACACAGCAATTATGGGACTTGAACAGCGGAACTTTGTAACTGAACAAGAAATTATGTCTGTTTATAGAATTAAAGAGAAAGTATTATCACATAAAAGATGAAGCAACTTAAACAACTTACATTGAAAGAAATGTTTATTAATAAAGTAAACAAATAAATATGAAGCTTTTTTTTTTGTAAGTTTTGATACCCTTTAGATCATAATTGTTCTTTATTTCATTAATTACGGTTTCATATTTTTAATTTTATAATTTCTGCATGCCATCTTATCAGATTTAAACTGATGATCTATAATCCGGAATCACCGAAGTCCCGACGAGTTCGGATTAATGACTTCTGACTGTATATTTTCCACATTTGTTACCTTTAATTCACTTTTGAGTTATGGTTTCATTTCATGCATTTTTCTTAACTGGTATGTCATATATAAAGACTTAGGTTGAGATTTTGCATCTATACGGCCCACGACGATGTCACATGCAATTTAATTTATTGCGGCGTTTCTGTGTAATTTTAATTTTTTTCCCGCCATTTTTCTCGAGTGCGGCGTTTACGCTGATGCGGCCTTTCTTCTGGAAATTACGGTAATCTTACTACATTCGAACATTCTACCGTCTAAACAATCAAACCAACACACACCACAAAAATGCCTACAAAACATCCCATGATTCACAATTTCCCAGAATCATGCACCCGATTACGTCACAATAGGCTTCCATAACATTTAACGGTTATGGTTACGGTTATGGTTTCCATAACATTTAACGGTTATGGATTATGGTAACTTCGTGATTTTTTGGCGACCAACCCTGCTACAGCAACCTGCTAGTTTTTGTTTGGATGCAATTTTGTTTTTACGAAGTAAAGGCATTTTTTTTTTTTTTTTACTCAACATTTTTTTCCAACAATCTGCTAGCCGAATTACGCTTATGGTAGAACTTTTATGGAACAAAAGTGCTTAATCATGACGAAGATTAGGTGCGAAATTGGGAGAAAGTGCAGAATCGCGCACTGTTTGCCGCATTTTTAAGAATTGCACATACAACACGGTATCCATGTATACGTCGACCTATTTTCACTTAAAAAAAATCCTAGAATTGCACAAAAATGGCATTGCGCACACTCGACTTTATTCATGTACACTGCTAAAGTCCTAGCTAGTAACCTTTATCGCCTTACCAAAATGTCGCCAAACTACCTGTTACCATATTCCAAAGATTAGCCCATTTAACTACTCATGCACCCGATTACGTCTTGATAGGGTTTCCATAACATTCAACTACTCAGGCTACCATAAATGAAATAACAACTTGGCGATAGATCAAACAACAACTTCACCATAATACAAGGGGCACCTTAAAGTCTATTCTACCCCATAAAAAATAATACGTATATCAATGCTGATAAACCTTTAGATGTGAAAAATTGGGAGGTTTTCAAGCTTCACAGCAACACCATTTCAGAAAAATTCCAAACTAAGTGAAATTCTTTTTATAATGCATAACTCAGGAAACTGAACTATTAACTATGTTGATTCTGTATTATTAGTATATTAATATTTAATTATATATTCTAAATTTACGTTCTTTGGGTAATTTTACGTTGTAATTTTTCACTCTTCTATACTGAGATCTGTAGCAAAAAAGAAGAATTTTTGAAGATAGCAAAGTAATTTAAATATAGTGAAAAAAATAATGCACATACTAGGTGGATAATCTTAATAATGTATCATTTACTGATATAAAATGAAATTAAATACAAGTATTATTTTTTTAAACATTTGTTAAAAGTTTCACAAAAAGGTCCTAAAAATATCTGTTGAAGAGAATTCTGGTTATGCAAAATTTAATAATAAAAATTATGCCAAAAATCTCGAGATGAGGGAATAGATTTGAACAATTTAAATCTCATTAATTTAATAAATTTTATTTATTGCTGATCAATATTTTTCTTAGTAAAATTAAAAAAATGGGAGAGTCAGCTGCTCTTTGACATATGTATAATGACAAGCCAAGAAAACTACAATTCCTTCAGCCTGAAGCAGAAAAATTTCTCATGGAAACCCATGCTTCTAAGAATATAAATAAACACTTGTATCACACATCTAGAATTATAAAGGCTTATTTTAACCGGTTCATTAATTACAGTAAAGCACATGTGAGCTACCTACTTACTTTAGAAGTGATACTTGTATACAGGATTTTTTAAGAGAAAATAATTCATATTACTATCACTTTAAGTCAAAATTAAGAAAAACTCTATGCAACTAGCCTATTAGCTGAAAACTGGGCTAAAGTACAGAATTGCCCACTTCTTTATTTGGCACTTTTTACAAGAGTAAGACAAATTGGACTTTTTAAGTGAAAATAGGTTGATGTGTACATGGATAAAGTCAAGGGAGTGCGCAATGCCATTTTTGTGCAATTCTGGGATGTTTTTTTAAGTGAACATAGGTCGATGTGCACATGGATACCGAGTTAGTGAAATTCTTAAAAACGCACCAAGCAGTGGGCGATTCTGCACTTTCCCCGACAACTGTAGTAATGTTTAAGTGATTTCATCGGTCTGGACACTTGTCGCCTCAAGGAGGTTTCACAGTATCAAAGGTTTTTAGAAAGAAATATCCAGCTATAAGTTACCTAGCAAAATATTAAGTTTAACATTATATACAAAGTAATTTTATAAAACACAATATTAAAAAAGGACTACAAATCATCAGTTTCACACAATTCAATAACAGACTACGTATCATACTGAAATGCATTTTACGACCTCTATGTACTGTTAAATACATCAATATACCAATCTTGAAACAAAATTTTAATTCTGGATTCAACTGCTAAGAGAAAGCAGAATCTTTTACAGAAATTTGTTATTAATTTATCTATTTAATTCAATTCAGAAATTTATGTATATGTGTGGAGCACAAATGAAGCAATTATGTGCAATTACTATGCAAGAAGGAAAAAAAATTAGATTAAACAAAAATCACGTCAAACACAAGGAGGAAAATATTATATATAATAAGTACTGCATTCATTTAAGGATACATGTGAGATCTAAGTCAAAACCATCTTCTCTGTACCGTCGCTTCTTTTTACTAACTAATCCTTTTATTTTGGATGCCATCATTTCTCACTACATTCAGAATTTTAAAGATTCATTAGCCAATTTCGAAAATATAATATTCAGAAATATATCGACACTAATTTTTAAAACAAAAAAAAAGTTGTTTTTTAACAAACCTTTCTGCAGGAAAAAGTCTTTTGAAAAGGTATCCTGGTTTTTGTACTTGGTAAAGTCACAATATTGCTGCAAACCTGAGCAGCTGCAATGTCACTTCGAGAACACTTCAGTTCACACAATTTAAACAGTACCCATTTTTCCATCATTTTCATAAATCGCAAATATATCCTCTAAAAATACAAACTTAGCATTAGACTGATTGCCGTGTGTATTATTTCCTTATGATATGAGTTTGCACTGTAATAATTTTATATTTCTAACAAAAATAATAATATCACGGCTATTCGATATGTAAAGAAGTTTAATATTTCAAAAAATTTTCATTTACTTCAAACAAAATTCCGTTTGCTGTTTTTCATGATCATGAATGAAGCTCCCTTATATTTATAAACTCTAATAATGCAACTGTACATGAATTTAAAAATTCATCACTTTTCATGCTCAATTTTTTTACACTGCAAAGGTTTTTTTACTGTGGTCATTTCATTTTGATACGCACAAGAGCTACAGTCATGAACGCGATTTTGAACTTTCGATGTTGTAAAAAATGAAGAAGTGTTCATTCTTCTCTTTTACTTTACGATACCATCAAAATTTTTACCCTCTGTAAAACTAAGCAAGCATTTTTCTTCCGTAAATCTTCAGAATACACAAATGGGAGTAATACAAACATAAAGCATGCAAATTAACACAAAATTAAGCGCAGAAAGACCAATCTGAACATACATACACGAGGATTCATGTGATAAATGCTGATTGGTTGGTTTGCCTTTACCCATCGAGTACATGGTGCAAATCACTTTTTAGTTTAGTTATTTTCACCAAGAAAAAAAAGTGTTCTTGTGAGAATTTATATAAATGCGCTTAGTTAAAAAATATTTTTTTCTTTTGCAATTCTAGTCCAAAATATATGAAGCTATAGGGAAATTTCCAGAATAATACATTTTATGTTATTGCTGCGGAAACGTACTAGAAAACGGAAGAAGTATTTGGTTTTCTTCTTCGCCATGCGGTATCAATTCGACAGCTTCGTCTGCTTGTTTTGACACTAGTGATTCTGCACTTAAATGTTTGTTTTCAAAGTTCTGCGATTTCTAATTTGATGTTGCCATGCTACTTTCAGACAAGATTTATTATGCTATCGTAGAAGCTTTAAATATCGGAATTTAATGTAAATTGAAGAGTCCTTTTGATTTATGAAAGATGTCACTTAAGGTAATATGCTATAACGTGTAAATATATATATATATATAATATATATATATGTTTTTATATATAATTCCTTTAAATGAAAGCATTTCGAAGACTGGAAATATTAATTTTGCTTGGGTATTAAAGACGGTAATCTGTTTATACTTTCGCAGTTGAACGATCGTTAATGGTCGCCAACATCTGTTTATTTAAAACGGAAAAATTTACTTAACATAGTAAAAAATTCGTACTTTAATAAAATCTGTTACTGAGAAAAGGATAAAAATATCACCACTGAAAGCTATTTATTTATTTTATTACATTCTAAAAGTGTGTATAAGTGAATTATATTAAGGTAAACAATTTTTTTTTTTTTTTTTACAATGAAAAGGAGGATGAAAAAATTTAAGAAAAAAGTTCAACGTAAATAAATGAAACATTTTATTAATTCAAACAAAAATACACTAATTATGCTTACAACGATTATTTTTCATTGAACGAATCCTTTTTGTCAAGTACATCATTTTCTAACAGTATGTTGAAAATTTCGGAGCAAGAAATATCCTTCACAATGCATTTTGTGGTAAGTATTGCACCTAGTGTATCAACATTCGATCTTGATTTCTCACTTGTTTAAGAATCATTACCAGTTGCAAAAAACTTTTTCAACTGCTGTATTAGTTCCAGAGCAGTATATTGTAAATTCAGCAAGAGTAACTAAATTTTTATATGGTGTGTGTTCATTTTTGAAATTGTTAAAAATTTCCACCTATCTTTTGTCAATTTCAATATGCTGATTTTCCCATTGTTTTAATTTATCAGAATTTAAATATACATCCAGTCATCTAATTTCTTCAGACAATTGTCATCAATTTTAATATTGGGCATTTCTTTCTGTAAAATCTCAATGCACAATTCAATATCTGCCCAATTCACTTGCAATCAAAAAACACCACTGAAAACTGTTATTTCCTGTGACACTTGTTTCAGACCATTCTTTGACATATTAGAAACATGTTTGTTTAAAAATTCTGCACTTCTTTGGTAAACTTTTGTGTTATGCCTGGATTTGATTCCCCTAAGTTTGACAGTTTTCTTTTCATTATTAAAGGAATAAATTTTTCTTCAAATTGTGATTTATATTGAAAGACAAAATCGTTTAAAATAAGACTAACTCCTGTAGCTGAAATATGTTCACCTTCAATCTTTTGAATCGTTTTGCGAAGTAGGTACCTGATTATGTATAAAATATATTAATGTCTCCAATAATTCATACTTGAAAAAAGATTCTAGAATTTTTTCACATGTGTCTAAAAAAATATGAATGGAGATGCTCAGATACTTATAAAACATGCTCTGTAGCAGGTGTTGGAGCGAGCAATCTAACTTTAGAATATCCTAAAAAGTTTTTTGTATTTAACATTTGCATTTTCACAAAATTGTTTTAAAATAGCCACATAAACAGTAAAATGACTAAAATTTAAATAAATTGTTGTTATTATTACTTCTACATCAATTGGCATAGTACATGATGCTGTGTTGATTGCATTTGATAAAATATGTGCATTATAATCTAATCCTAGTATTTTCTTTTATTCACTCCTTTGCATCTTTGCCCACCAAAACTTGTATTTGTACCATCAGATGTTAGTGCAACAATTTTAGATTTCAAATTGTTTTCATTTATTACTCTGTGTTGGTGATTTGACAAAATTTCAGCAGTTTCACCCTCAATGGATTCTAAATTAAAAATTTTTACTTGAATGCCCTTTTTAACATTATAATCCCTTAATAATGTTGGATATAATTTGTTTTCATTATGATTTGATGCATCAGATAAAAACCATTACAAATGCTGCATTTTTCAAGTCTTTTGCAAGTATTTTATCACAGTAATTTTTAAAATACTATTGAACTTTTTGATAAAATTTCGAAATAGTGTTATCGAAACTGTTTTGTAAAACTGAGTTCTCATATTTAGTCATATTTATATGAAATGCTGAAAAATCGAAAAAGAATGGGACAGTTATTTAGTTGATTCAAAAAAAAAAAAAAAAAAAAAAAAAATTAAGATCATCAAGTGAATATGTTTTATTAGTTGTTACATATAAAAATATGAAGAGACTGGCATACTGTATAACTTTACAATATGTACTAATTTACAATATGCTGGCTGAGTGCTGCTAAAATGTTAATGTGCCCTGTGTCAGATCATGATAGCTGCCATCTTGCAGGATGCTTTTTGTTGGTGGAATGGATCCATAGTATCTTGCAGTATTCTTTACACAGATTATATTCATCTATTAATACACATGCATTTTATGTTTCTTTCTTTATTTTAACATAGTTAAAGAAAAATGTTTTAAATTGTGTCTTCCATTTTAATAGGAAGCAGTTGAAAAACTGTACTATTTTAGGGATCATTACTTTGAGCATCACTCAACAGATCATGCTGACAAAAAAATAGAAGATCTGACTATAGAACTGAATAAGACTTTGAAATTATTTGATACTGAAAATGGTAATACTGTTTTCTTATTTTTATTTCAGTAACTGTTATGTTGTTTAAAATGCATCATCTTAATAAATCCATTATAAAGAGACTGTAAATATCAATAAACCTAAATAAAGGGATTGATTTTTTAATGATCGATAAAAAAAATTAAGATGCACTAGATGTTTCTTTTTTTTTTATAAAGTTATGATGATGTTCACCCGTGCAAAGTATGAAAAGTTTCCTCTTTTCATTAATAGTAACATAGTTTTTTTTTTGCATCTAGTTTGAAGATATTTATCTTGTGTAGCAAACATGATATTGAACATCATCAAACGTGGATACATGATGTGGTGTTATAGCAAATGCATTATCAACAAAGGAATTGTCTAAAACAAGGAGTGCTTAGGTGGAATCAAAAAACCATAAATTCTTTTGCTACAGTATAACATGTGTCTGGATAGAAAATCATGTTCTTATCATTTTAAAATGGTAATAATTCCATAGCAATTTGTTTTAGGATGACTGTCCAAGTATTTAATTACTTGATGTGGAATATAAATGAATAAATATGAGTTTGGGTGAAATTTTAATAATTAGTTTTTTTTTTTTTTTTTTTTTTTTTTTTTTTTTTTTTTTTTTCAGTTTTGTTTGGGTTAAAACAGCTTAGTTATTATTTCTAATGGCATGAATTATGCTCTGTACTGAAAAGACTGGATTGCCAAAAGACTTAACACTATTACCGGATTGCCGAAAAATTTCCGTCTACTTTGTAGAATACAATAAAAATTTATTTCATACGAAGCCAAAAGTCTTTCGTTGCAAAAATTAAGTGTTGTCTGCACTTATAGATGCCTCAAGATTTCTGATATAATTTCTCAGCTGATTTAGAAGTGAAAAAGTCTATTACTACCTTGTTCCATTATGGTTCACTGACAATGTCCTGCTACTCAAGAGCACAGGTCAGTGATCAGGAAATTTGACAGTCTGTTAGTGCAAAGTTTTGAGGATGCAACTATGCATCTCTTGGAGCAAAACAGCTCAGCTTAGTTGTAATAACTTCTGAAGAGTTTCTGAAGCCATGTCAGGTCTTGAGCTGTCTTGAAAATTTTGATAAGTTTGCTAATGAAGTGAACTGCTGTGACTGCTAGCAGTACAGTCTGGCAATAATGAACATTGCTTTTCATATGCTTTTTATGCCTAGGCTGATGCCTAAACAGTTTGTTCTGCATTCAAGTTCACATGGCTTCATATTTATATAAAGACCCAATTTTTCATAATTTGTGGAGTCTAGTTAGGTATAAGTACAAAGATAAGGCATCAGAAAATTAGAAGTTTGCACACCTTGAGTTTTGGTGGATAGATTGTTCTATTTATAAGGTTTCTTCGTAAGGCTAGGTGCAACTGCTCTTGTAATGGAGTTGCATATCCCTAAGGTCTTTCTCTATAAGAGTTAAACACAGTTTTGAATTCTCGGCATTATTAGCATGGAAATCCATACTAATAATTTGTATTGCATTTTTCTGTTAGCTTTATTCTGAATATTGGATATTTTATGATGGCAAATCTTTTAACACATAAAAAGTGCTGAAGATAATTAAAATCCAGAAATCCAAATTTTGAACCATTTTAGTTAATTGCATGGCCAGTTTTAGGTCTGTAGAATTTTACATGCCAGACTGAGGACTGACTCTACAAATAGCCAGTTAAAAAAAAATCAGAAAAATCACTTAATTATATTTACTCCATCCCTAAGATTTGCAAGATTTGATAATCCTTAGTGAATTTTAATTGGACTGAAATATTTGATTTAGGTAAAAATGCAAGAAATCTATTTTGTATGCTTTTTTTATTAGCCATCACTAGTTTAGAAGCTTTGAAAAAATCTTTTTCAGATTTCAGGGCTCGTGAAAATCTGTCTGAAGAGTTTGGTATAGGAATTTCTGTCCATTCACAAAATCAGTTAATGAAAAGTAAATTAAAATGTAAAAATTTTTATGCTTTTTTATTCAAGTTCTTGAAATACTATTTATTAATTAATTTCTAAGATATATATTATCATGCTAGTAAAAATGTTGAAGCATAAATTATCCTATCAACTGTTGATTTTGTACCAATTGATTCATACTTATTTCCTAGTGCAAAGGTTTGCTTTGACCTTTTATTTGTAGTTTTTCTTGTAAGAATAAACTGAAATAGCTAAAGTCTAAAGAGAGTCTTGCTATGAATGGGTGCCATTTGTAATTTTTAGATCCTGCATTAATGCCAAAATTTCATTCTAAAATCCATGCCAACATTTCCACTTATGAGATAATATTAAGCTCTGTTTCTTATTTTTAGAAGTTTTTATTGCATGTATTATTAATTTTTCATAGAAGCTAACAGTGTTGGAAAAGTAACAGAACATGATTTTCTCAGAGCCAAAGCAATGAATGTTTTACCTGAATTCAAACCTGAAGTTCTTGAAATACTTACAAAGTTGGTGAAATTTCATCCTAAACATGTAGAAGCTTGGAATGAACTTGGAACATGCTTTTGGAAGAAAGGTGACATAAAGGCTGCCAAAAGTTGTTTTGAAAGTGCATTAAGAGAAGTATGTGTATTATGTTTATTTAACTAACACTAACATTGTATTTTACAGTATCATTTCTCGTTTTTATGTCTAGACAATAGTGCTTGTGTTTTATTCATGAGTTATATACTTCAGTTCTGGCAATTATTATAATCAAGTAATTTTATTATAAGAAAAAAAAATAAAATTTGTCATATTTTTAATAAAAAATTATTGCAAAGTTTCAAAATAAACTAGAATTGATTGGTGAAGCTGAACCACTATGTGCTGAATGCAGCACTATTTTAACTGTTAAACAAATTTTAACTGAGTGACCGAATTTTAATTGCTTTCAAAATTTTTATTTTAATACTTGTGAGATTTCAGCAAAAGATTTAGTTGATAAAAAACCACATTCTAACATTTTTAAATTTTTAAAAGCTACAAAGTTTTACCACATTATTTGAATTTCCTGAATCCAATATGGGTTTCAGAAGATCTAACTCTGATCTACTTTTATTCATATTATCAAAATTTATCCTGTGACTATAGATTTTTCTATCTGTGTTTCATGGTTTTTCTTTCCTGATTTTTCGTAAAGGAATTTTATGTGTTTGATTTTATTGCGTGCTATTTTATACCTATATGTAATATTGTCTCAAATTTCCACTCGTGAGTATGCACTGAATGGTGCATGTGTTTTGTCTTTATCTTAAGTTTTGGAAATACACAACCTTTTGTTTGGTGCAACATAATGATGATGATTAATAATGATAATGTGATGGCATTAACTTTGTCAGTGATGTGGATTTCTTTTATCTGACCATGTATTTTTTTTTTTTTTTTTTTTTCATATTTCCATAGTAGTACAGAATATATTTTATTGTCATATTTAATAATTTTAAATTCTTTTGTAAAATATGTAAATAAGGTAAACAGCAAAACAAAATATTAATCAAAACAAGTTAATAATAATTGTATTAGAACAATTTATAAATAGTTCTAAAATAAATAATAATTGTATTAAAATAGTTTATAAATAGTTCTAAAATAAATTAAAACTTAGGACAGTTAAGGATTTAAATCCATAAGTTCAAATTTTTTATTATTCATATTTAAGGCTATTAATATCATGTTTTAGGTATATAAAAAATTAGTTACTAAGTGTTTGTGTAAATTTGATGTGTATGTTATTAAGTAAAACTATAGTTTTAATTTTATGTTAAAGAGTGTAGAGCAGTGGTTCTCAACCTGTTTTTCCCCATGTACCCCTTTCACCATTTCTAAATGATCGTTCAGGTTATTTTAACTTATGTTATAAATTAAACAATAAAAAGTGCAGAAAATGTTGATCAGTGCCAAAACTTGAATAAAAGTAGCTTTATGTATTCATAAATTTAAACTAAATAGTGAACATCTAAATAAAAGGCTGATCACATTCTCCCCCCCCCCCCCCCCACCCGAAACTATGAAATTCCTCCCAAGTGGGAAATTATGCCTGGTTGTGATTTCCTGCTGTAATCTTTATATAACGTTATTTTTGTAATTTTTTCCTGAAAAATGTAATTTACTTCTCATGCATTAACTTTGGTGCATGTTTATGTTATGGCTTTAAATGGAATTTCAAATACATTATAAGAAAAGTGATTTCATACAGTTTTGTGAATCATTTAAAAGTAATGTTAAAAATGTTATCATAATATCATATTGACCAGAATGTAGGCTAATATCTGTTCCTTAAAATATCCTTTTGAAATTCAACCCATCTCTGGGAGCTTACTATTGCTTTCAAGTCTCTACTTATATTACTTACACTACTTATGTAACTTACTTATGAGGTAATTTTGGGTTTTCATCCGCAGAGAACCCGTTGGCGCTTCGAGAAAGAACCCGTTGGCGCCGTTGCATTTTTTACTCGCCAAGCTTGAGCCGAGCCGTATGCATGATATTTTGTAAATGTTGTTTTTAGTGTATGTAAATTCAAGTTAGCAGACAATGTAGTAAAAATTCACAGATAATAAGTATGTAGATGTAAAACTAACAGGTTAAACGTGATATATGAAAATAAATTTGTATTAAATTCAAGTTAGCACAGAAAGCAATGTATTAAACATAACGTGATGTAAAAATTCATTTAAAAAATAACAATTAGTATTCTTATACATACGTTTACATTATACTTATATGTGTATTTCCTCTAATTCATATAGAATACTAATATTTCTATTACAAGTGTCTTTTTTTATTATTAAGTACTTTGCCTGTTGATTGATGTATTTCGGTAAGAGCCATGCCCATGTAATAAATTAATGAAGGCATGACCTATCCATTTTACATAGATTTCAGTATTTTTTTTTTCCAAGTTACTTGCGTACAGCTTAAAGCATTTTACGTTGAAACACTACCTGTCCTTTTTCATAATATATTTCACAATACAAATAACCTTCAATAGTAATCAAATTTTCTTCAGTAGTTGTTAATAAAACTAGAACTTTATACATTTTAAAATTATTATAGGGGTTGGAAACCTCATGGTTCTGCACGCTTACAGCTGTTAATAATTAAGAACATAACGTGAACAGCCATGTTACAAATTAGCATTCACCCCTCCTTCCATATTTTCTTCCTTTGATTCCGAACTGACGAGCCGAGAACTGGCATCTTTAGACGAAAACTTCTTTAATTATGCGAAAATATTTCTATCTATTCGTTGTTAAAAAATTCAGAAAAAATAATAATAAATAAGAGAAGAATATAAATCTCCAAATGCGAACAACGACAACCTTCGCAAAAGCGAATAGGATGAATTAGCTAGGTTACCAGGTTTGAACTATTATCGCCAAAGTTGGCGATGTTTACATTTACCGGATTCTCTGCAGAAGTGCTTCCACAATTTGAGATAACTGGAATGTGCTTCTTAAAAACAGAAGTAGAATGCATGTTAAAATTTCAGTGCTCAAGAATCCGAGTGTGTTTTTTATATCAGACACATAAAAAATATATTAAAGTACATAATTTATTTTCCTCCATGTCATTAAAATGAAGCATATTTTTTTTTTAAACTCAAACTGTGGTAGTTAGATAATTTAATTATCTTTATTGTAGAATGCCATCAGTTTATCGTATATGTGAGGTTGTCATATAATAACTTTTTTTCATATAAAGCAGTATTTTTCTCAACTGTGGTCCTTGAAGCCTGTCTTTGTGACCCTCCTAAATGTGCAAAAACACTATATTATTTCTAGATGAAATTTTTAAAATTGAACATAATTTCTTACTTATGATATGTAGTTAAGTACATTAGCATATCTTTCAGATATGTTCTCACAACTAAATGATTTAAATCTCTATCTACAAGTCAATTTTTTGTTTGTAATGCTCATGAGAAATTAAGGTGTCTCAAAGGAAACTTGATTTAGTTGTCTAAAACGTAGAAAATTTTCACCACTTCCAGTTTTTGTATCTTTTTTAGGAAAAAATTATTTCGTTGTTGGAAAAGGATTATGGAATGATATATGTTCGCATTTCGAAACTGCGAGGTCACAATTTGGAAGTTATTTTCTGAGTGGTAAATATAATGAATTTTCTCGGGTTTTTTTACTCTTTCTTATTGCAATTTTGAAAATAATAAACTATCATCGAATAAAAGAGAGCAGTTAATTGAATTTTCAAATGATCCTGGATTTATTCCAAGTAAAGGTATGGTTAATTTGTACACCTCATTACGAATGAAAACAAGATGTACTGAACAGAGCGATGGCGCTTAAAATTTCAGTTCATTTTTCTTCTACATATTCTATGTACATTTAGGTTAGGTTATCTGAATATGGCAAATCCACAAGGGCTGTCTTAGGCAGACAGGAATGCTTTCTTGAAACAAGGAATGCTTTCTTGAAATGAAAGACTTTCTGAGGGAAATGGATTGCATTGTTTGTGTGGGTAAAAGTATGAAAACAGAGTATGGAGCCCGCCCATCTAGATTCAAATCCAAATCAGGTTGAATTTCTCGTATTCAGCAATCTTAACTACTCGACATTGGTTGGGTTCGTATATGTGTAAGACTGGATTTTCATAACTTATACAAATAAAAATGGAGGACCAAAATTGACTGAATGTATTAAACTTACCAGCATATATCCAAACATAGAACAGTTGTACTAGAATCAGCATATTCATCCATGTAATTAATGTAAAATCTAATATTTACTTAATTTTTAGTTAATAAAATAACAATTACTCAAACTTAAGTATCCTATAATTATTAAAAACAAATGTACCTTTTCTTCTGTCAACTTAATTACTGAATGCCAACAGAATATTAAATGAAATTTAATTAATTGCATTTTTAAAATATGCTAAAAAATTGCTTTCGAAGAGGACAAGAGTTAGGTGGTCCACAGAACATTCTAATTCATAAAAGTGGTCCTTGCTTGGAAAAAGTTTGAGAAATAGTGATGTAAAGCATGTAAAAAAATTTATGGTTATCATATATGTAATGTTATTTTATATTTACCATATAGTAAGTCATTCCAAAATAGTGATGATATTTTAATGTCAAAGCAATAAAAGTGTTGCAAAATTTAAAATTTTAATGATTTGGAGATTGCTGATTATGTAAAACGTTCAGATTGTCATTGAAATAAATCCCTCCAATATTCTGTGTAATATACTATATTCATGATTTTATTCTATCTAAATTCCTTTTTTTCTTATGGGGAGGTTCAGCTATTTAATTTTATAGAAGTCAGAGAGATAATAGATAAATGATATTGCCATCATGTAAAATAAGTTTGCAACAAAATGCAGTGATAAAAGTTGTATCAAAATGAGGGAAAATGATTTTGATTAAACACTACATTTTTATGTTTTAATCCTCATCAACATTTACTTCTGTAATTTTCCTCAGGTGTGATTCACCTTTTTCATTTCTTTTATAAAGACATTTTATAGTTTGCTAATTATCTGCATATATTAACTTTAATTTTACTATCAGATAGATATATTGTGATCTTTTAACATCTCTATAATATGTCATTATTTCTTAAATAAACTTTCTTGAATCATAGTATCAACTTTTTTTTTATTGTGAGTTTTGTTATTATCATCACTTGTCATTGCATTGAACTGGTGATCTTTTCTCACCAAACATACTCATCTCACTTTTACTGCAGCCTTTGGTATGTCAGGCATACCAAAGCTTTTTACCTTAACAATTAGTGATGGCATGGGCTTAGAGACCTTTTGGTTGATCTTTACATTATGGTAACTTGGCGTTTTTTTGGTGAAAATTTGGCGACCAACTCTCCTACAGTAACCCTCTATTTTTTTTTCCCGCCGCCATTTTGTCTTCACGAAGTAAAGACATGTTTCTTTTCTTTTTATCTACTGAACACTTCTTCCAACAATCTACTAGCCGAATTACACTTATGCTAGAAATTTTATCTAACAAAACTGCTTAATCATGACAAATATTCACTGCAGAATTGGGAAAAAGTGCACAATACCATACTCCTTACGCGTTTTCAAAATAACACATACACATAAACCATGTACACTCCGACTTATTTTTACTTAAATAAACATCCCAGAATTGCACAAAAATGGCATTGCGCACACTCTTCGCTATATCCATGTACACTGCTTTTTTCTCATAAATTAGAAAAATTTCACGAAAATACATGACTATTTTCTCAATCTTTAAACCCGGTAAAAAGAACATATATGAAATTACCTGATCGTGAAAAAGTATTTACCCTTTCCAAATATGAACATTCCACATTAAAATAAATAAAATATCCAAAAACTTTTACCTCTAAATCATCTATTACATTATACACGTCACCAACGAATTCATACCGCAACCATTACAAATACTTAGTATCAAATATTTAAATTATTTTCCATGCACGTTTACTTCAACTCAACTAAACGTGTACCAAATTCTACAAACATAAAATTCACAAAATAACTATCATTTAATTAAAATATCACTAAACTATGTACACGTCGACTTATTTTTACTTAAAAAAACATCCCAGAATTGCACAAAAATGGCATTGTACATACTCATCACTATATCCATGTACACTGCTTTTTTCTCATAATTTAGAAAAATTTCACGAAAATACATGACAATTTTCTCCATCTTTAAACCCGGTAAAAAAAACATATATGAAATTACCTGATCGCGAAAAAGTATTTACCCTTTCCAAATATGAACATTTCCACATATAAAATAAATAAAATATCCAAAAACTTTTACCTCTAAATCATCTATTACATTATACACGTCACCAATGAATTCGTACCGCAACCATTACAAATACTTAGTGTCAGATATTTAAATTATTTCCATGCACGTTTACTTCAACTAAAACGTATACCAAATTCCTACAAACATAAAATTCACAAAATAACTATCATTTAATTAAAATATAATTAAATTCAAAAACACTACTTAAAATATAAATGAGCACATACCCATTTCGAATTCACTTTAGTTACGGCCATGGGATCCAAAAATTCACGAACACTGTTTCACACAACACAGAATAAGGCCAAATACAAAATTTCCAGATTTTTTCCTGATTTCCCCCCTTTTCCGATTAAAGAACCGTAATTCGTCCATTAATATCACATGACATATCCGATGATCTCTCATTTCCCTCACACAAAATAATGTGTAATCGGAACTGAGTACTGCTCACATTATTACCAAAGTCCCAGGTAGTAACCTTTATCGCCTCCAAAATGTCGCCAAACTACCAGTTACCATATTGTAAAGATCAACCGACCTTTTTTTTTTATCAGTAACCTATGTAACATACCTTTAATACTTAATATATCAGGTGTTGTGTATAATAGCTGTTAAAATTTTGTTTTCTTACTTTTGTTGAGGTGCCCTGATTATTTCATCTCAGTTATTACAGGTTTGCCATGCTTAGGAAATTGAGGGTTTTAGACAGGGCTGTGGAGTCGGAGTCATTCAGTCAGGTATATTTTTGGGTAAAAGGAGTCGGACTCGGAGTTGCTAAAAAAACACGTTGACTCCGACTCCAGTTTTTGCTGAACAGTTTGAATTTGAAATGAAATTAAAGTGAATTGAAAAAAAAAATTAATGACAAACTGAGTTAATATTTTTATTTATGGGCTATATGCATCAATAAATAGTTATTTTCTATTTTATTGGTATATTAGTAAATAAATATAAGGGAGCAGGATGGACGTGATATTTGCCATTATTGATTAAACTGATTCATTTACTTACTTATCTCGTTGGTGAATTTAGATAAGCAGCAAGAACTCCCAAAATTGATGCCATTCTTGGGAAGCAAGCAGGAAAAGGAGCAACACAATGGAGAAGTACATATTTGATGATACAGTGGTTTGTTAGGATTAAGAACTTTTTCAGAAAATGTAAATAACCCTAATATTTCACTAAAAAAAGACTGAAATGATCTTGCAGAACTGGAAACCCTTCTTTCAACATCATATATAGCCACAAAAAAGCTACAATCTGAAAAATTAACAGGAGACGAGAATATTAGAAGATGTAGATAACCCTAATGTTTCACTAACAGAAAGATTGTGGAATGATCTTGCAGAATTGGAAACTCTTCTTTCTGTACTGTATATAGCCACCAAATAGTACAATCTGAAGAATTAACAAGAGGCAAGACTGGAAGAATGCAATGTTTGTTCTTTCTGAAATGGAGGGTTTACTGCAAAAGGAATCATTTCTCAATGAAGAAAAGAGAAACTAGTATGCTAGACAATAAGATCCCACTGGGTTCAATATATGTAGATCCAAAATGCCGAATTTTGTTGTATGACAAACAAATTAAAAAGGCAAAAAAGCCATCTATGAGCCAACTAGAATTATCAAAGGATCTCTGATAAAGTTTTTTTTTTTTTTTTTTTTTTTTTAGTGTAGACTTATTATTTTTTGCTTGAAAAATCATGTTAATTAGACTGATTAATTTAATTTTAAAATTATGCAAAATTTGCGATAATATTGGTATTGGTTATAGTTAGGCTTGCCAGACGTCCCGGTTTTCAGACAAAATCCCGGAGCCCCGGCTGGTTTACTTCTTGTCTCAGTAAAAATTAAATTTGATTTTATAAGTGACCAAAAAGTCTAAAAATAATTAACTGTGAAGTATTATTTAGGATCACTTTCTTTGTCAGTTATGTCTGTACTGTATGAAAGGTGAAAACTACCTGGAACCATCAGCACCAGTTGAGAGAGTATTTTCTTTGATGAACAATACATGGACTGATGATAGGTGTTTGATGAAGGAAACTACGGTTAAAGACTAGATGACATGTAAAGTTAATATCAGATTTTAGCTTCTGAAGATTTTTACAAGATTAAAACCAAAAAAAGACTTTCTAAAAAACGTACATGTAAATATTGTTCAAATTTTTAATCCGCATTTAAAGTGTTTCTTCTTACTTCCAGTAACTTAAAAATATTAGCATATAAGAAATAAAATGTTCAAATTTATATGCTTGTGTCATTGATTAGGTTCCTATCAAGTAACCATTTAGTCATGGAGAATAAATGACCCTCTAAAACACTCTAAAAACCTGCCAAGGGTGTGTACCCTAGAATACCTGCGATGCCGGGGGGCATTCCGGTGTCCTGGTTGAACATTTCTGAAATCTGGCAAGCTTAGTTATAGTACTCAGGTCGATATATTTCAAGATAATTTAATATGTCTTTTCCAAGTACCAAAAACTATCTAAGAATATTTATTGATATATGGAAATCTAATTTTAATTTTGGCCTAATTTTAAAGTCAGCATGCTTCTTTTCCATCTATTAAGTATATTTTGTTTTGTATGCATGGAAATAGTTTTGTAGTCATATTTATCTTTATAAATATAATACAAGAAAAATATTTTTTATAGGAGAAAAATGTAGAATCTCTACGAAATTTGTCTATGGTTTTACGGCAGATTGGAGATACCCCGGAAGAAAAAATTGCTAATATTCACCAAAGCTTAGAAAAGGCTAAAGAGGCTGTGAATCTGAATATTCAAGATGGAAATTCATGGTGTAAGTAAACAGATTTAGAAATCTGTGTATTTTTGAATTATGTATTCTGCTTACATACCTTTTAATATGTTATTTTATTTTTTTTTTTTTGTTAATGATTATTGTAAGTTTAATGAATTAAGTTTATATGAGAAGTGTAAATCTCTAAATTGAATTTCTTCATCCTTTTGTTTATCATTGTTTTAAAACAATTGCACTTATTATCCTCAAAATACATTTCTGGATACTGAAATAAAATATATTCAGAAAGTGTTTAATTTTATCAGTGACTGGAAGGGGTAAATTCAAGATTATTGCTTTTATTTTTCATTTGTTTCAAAAATAATATTCCTTAATTAATATATAACTACAGAAAAACTTCAGTTATTAGATTTAATTAAATCAACATTTGAAAAATCAGATAATTGGGTTTTCTGGTTTCTTTATGCCACTTATGCATTTACTGTAATGCAAATTAATGAATTTTTTCATTTGTCATATTTAATTTAGAGGAACATAAAAAGTTACAGAAATAAGTTATGGTAATAAAATAGTTATACTCCCAAGTATACACAAAATAATAATCCATTGTATATCTAAAAGCTGTATGAAAATTTGACAAAAGTTCCTCCTGTGAAGAAAGAACTAATGTTGCTTAATCTGTATGTAGAAAAGAAGTTTGGGCTAAACAACGATTTATGGGATAAACGTAGAACGGGAAACTGTTGCGCACTGCATGATGACTCTATTATTAACCTTAATAGTGATAGACTTTATATTTGTTTATGTTGAAAGGTAATACATGCATCCAAATTTAAAGTGAAATTACAATTTATTTATTTAATATTTTTAATTTATTTAATTTTTTTAATCTGTGTAATTTTTTACTATAATCATCATTAGCAATGTAAGTTGTGTATAGAAGTGGCTAATATTCTATAAACAGGGTAAGTTGGTGCCAAACTATTTTGGCCTTCAAAATTTGGCTTTTTTTTTTTTTTTTTTTTTGCATTGAAAGCACTAAGATGTGATTTTTAAATGTAAACAGGATAGTAACTTTTTTAAGTTTTGCAGTAGTGAAACGGGGTTAATTTATGTAAATAGAATAGTAAAATGAGACGATAAAATACTAGATGAGTAAAACAAAGTCCAATAGCTTTGCAAGTAAAATCATAGTCCTATCTATGTTGTAATTCATCATAAAATGATTGAACAATTCTTGTAAATAATTATTGAGTAAATAAATATATACACTTATCAGATCAGAGCACTGTGAAGTGAGTTTTAAACGTAAACAGAGTAGCAAATTTTTGTTTACAGTGGTGAACATGATTATTATGTGCAAAAATAGAATAGTAAATGAAATTGATTAAATGATAAAACAACTTCTTGGAATTCAACGCACTAAACAACTTTCGTTCAAAATTAAAAAACTTTAAATGTTCCACATCTTTCGATTGCCACATGCAAGAAACAAAACTAAAAAAAATAAATAAAATTAAATGAAAACATTCATACTTCACGTCATCTGAAATCCAACATTCTCCCACCAACAACAGCTTAACCTGCAAATATTTATATAAATATAATATTATATATATATATATATAATATTAAACAGTAAAACTTTTAAAAACAAACACAGTATTTCAAAATTAAATTAAAAAAAAATCTTATGGCTACACTAAATTTGCATTCTTACAATTACCGAAATAAAGCTCTAGGTTTGCCACAAGAAAAAATACAGCTGGAAACCACAACCAAATTAAAACCGCACCGAATAAAAAATTCTTGCCAAGTTTGACGCTCACCCCAATTATGGAATATTAACCATAAAAGCTTTGGTCAGGCCCCCCCAAAAAGTCTCATTTAGTTACTTGTTCTGGTATATTTTAAAAAGACCATCTATCTATATTATATTTTGATGACCTTTCTTAGTTTTGACTTTATGTTTTTCCTTATATTTTCATATGAAATAATTGCTAGTAACAGTTATTGAAGATGATAGTCACATTGGTATATCATTAAGCCATTTTATGATAGATTTAGACATTTATATGTATTACTGTTTGAAATAAAACTTTGTCTTCACAATAAAAACTATTAACTTTTGTCTTTGCTTTGTGAAAAAATGGTTATGTTGGTCCTTAACATATTTCAAAGCTTATCATGACATCAAAAGGGGCACTGTGCACTTTTGAAAACCTTAGCATCAGTTTGCTTCTGAGCAGCTTCTATATATCATATTTTTCTCTAGTAAAATCAGATATATAAGAAAAATTTTGAGATGATATATGATTTCTGTGTGTACATTTGACATATAGCAATAAGAATGTTTCTTGGGAGTTTGCAATTACTATTGCTGTTGTTAAAAAAAAAAAAAAAAAATTGCTAATACTTTTTTTTCTTTGATCTTTTTTGCATCAGTGTATATTCGAGTAGTTAAATTGATTATCAATTTTATTTTAAGGAAATTTCTTCAGAAAGAATTTGATTGATTGAGATTTCCGTTTTTGATATAATTTCAGCTTTTATTTCTAGTAGTATTTTGTCTTTGTTTTTTGAATTGTACATGATGTTTTAATCTTCTGATGAAATCTTGATAAAATACCATTAGACAATATCTTTTGATTAAAAAAATTAAGGCATTGTTTGAAAATCTTTGTATCAAAGTTTATAAAATCTCTTATTCCACACTTTATTTAAAATTTAACTTTCTGTTAAATTAGTGATGTCATAAAATAAATCAAGTTTTTTTATGAAAATGATGTAACATTTTCTGATTTTTCTCATTTTGAGAAAATTCTATCATCTGAATTTGGTAGCATGTTTTTTAAAATTAAGCACCATATTATTATTTATTTTTGCTGCATTATTTATTTTTGAAGGTACATTTTTAATGTTTGCTAATTAAAAATTAAAATAATTAATAATACTTTTGAACATAGTGTTAATTATTTGATACTTATTAATTATTTATTTGATACTTATTTGATAAACAATGAAGTACAACTTAAACACTAAGCGTTTAAGTTGTACTTTGGGTCAATATGCCAGTCTCTTTCTTATAAATACTATATATTAATTTTAAAAAAATAAAATAGTAAATTATGTATTTTTATCTGTTTTGTTAAATGAATATTTATTGATTATAAAGTGAAAAGATGCATAGAACAATATTTGAGAAACTTGTTCTTTTAGTAAATTTGCAAAATGGCTTCCAGAGGATAGTAGGACATTTATGTCATTGCTTGTATATCATAAATGTTTTCATATATTTATATGGATACATTCATTATTTCGTAGAAAAACGGCAACTTCAATAAATTGATATTATTTAAGCATTTCAGAAGTCCACTGACATGTCAAATGATGAAAACATTTAGCAAATGAAATATAATGAAACTAAGATCATAAAGAGAATGTAATATTGATGAATGCATTGACAAAATTCCCTAACGTTATAAGGTATTTCTCCCGCCTTCTTAGCATGCCTTCATAGTGTAGTGGTCAGGGCACATATTCAAGAGGTCCAAGGTTCAAGTCCTGGCAGAGCATTGTTTATTTTCCATATCTCCTGCTTTAAAAAAAAAAAAAAAAAAAAAAAAAACCTAATGACTACAGTGCCACTTGAACTAAAAGTGTAGTAGATGATGATTCTCTACCACCAGGATTTGGCAATCCCCTAATCCCCAGTTGTCCCTTAAAAGATGGAGTATGTAAGACATTTTCTCCCTCCTTTTCTGCATGCCTTTGTGGTGTAACGATCAGCACGTTTGGCGTGTATTCGAGAGGTCTGTGCTTCGACTATCGGCAAGGGCATAGCTCATTTTTTATCTCTCTTGCTTCAAAAAGATTCCAATGACTCTGCAACGTCCTGAAAATTTCAGCGGGGAAGATATGTATTAGCTGAAAATAATATAGAAGCAAGTTTTTTTTTTTTTTTTCAATAAAACTACTAAAAATATCACGTTCTAGTGTTGTCCAGATGCTGAGAATAACTTTTTGAAAAGTTAGCTGCCAACTCTTCCCAGTTTTCTATCGCATCTCCTGGTTTTTACTTTTAGCCTTTACTAAGAGAAATGTTTAATAAATAAAATGAATACTAATAAATGAAATAAATTTATTTTATTCAGTTTATGAAACTTAAAGTAGGCAAATTCCATTCCTCTATTTCTGATGGTTTTCAAAAAAATTTTTTTGTATTAAATTTTATTTTTTTATTATTAGATTTTGTTGATCTTATTAAATTTTATTTGATCTGAGTTATTTTAATCTACTGTTGATATTTAAGGATTTTTACATGAAGATTCAAGCAATATTTAATCTAAAAAAATGTGTGCATTTAATTTTATTTATTTCAATATATGGTATATTATAAAGTTTAGCCACACGAATACTATGTACATTAATTATTAATTTTATTTTCATCATATTTAAATGTACTTGGGTGAAAAAGCCCTATTTCCCTTTTCAGGACTTTTCCAGTGTAAGAATGAGAGAAAATGAAATTAACCAATGAACATAAAATTTAGAATATCCAAAGAAAAGCTAGTATTTTTTACATCAGAACTGAACTACAACATGAACCTTGCATTATGAAGTGAATTAAGTTCTGTTTGGAGTTCTTTTGAGGTGGTACAACATGAAAACCTTCTGGTTTCTTTCTGGTTTTCTGGCAAAAATCTCCAGATTTTTAATATTTCAAAGTTGACAGCTATGAGTTAGCCTATAATGTTGAAGTCCTCTGTTTGTAATATGTATCTCATGTTGTTCTGAACTAGATATCTCTTTTGAGTAGTTATAAAGATAGCATCCAGTGTAGAAGTAATCATAGCCAGGTTCATTAATCATAGCTAGGTTCATATCATTAATCATTGCCAGGTTGATAATTAAATGCTGTAGTAATTTAAAAATTTGTATCTGCAATTTTTTATGAATTAGTATTTTAGTATCATATCAAGGAAATTTTCCATCCATTTTTTTAAAAAATACTACAGTCAAAAGTTTTTAATCCGGACTCGTCGGGACTTCGGCGATTCCGGATTATCGATTTTTCTGGATAATAGATCATCAGTTTAAATCTGGTAAGATCGCATGCAGAAATTATAAAATTAAAAATATGAAACCGTAATTTATAAAATAATGAGCAATTATTATCTAAAGGGTATCAAAATTTACAAAAAAAGAAGCTTAATATTTATTTGTGTGTACTTTATTAAACATTTCTTTCAATGCGCGCATGCGTAAAGCATACATTATGCATAGTCGAAATTAGAAAATTGCAACCAGAATCCTGAAGATCTCTTGTTTGCCAAGAATGGAAAATATTTCATTCTAGAAATTCGTAACATCAATTTGGCGTCCAATGGCTGCTTCATCTGGGGATAGATGTCCCCCTTTCTAGCTACACCCTTGCAAGAAAGCCTTTTGTAGTATCGTTAGAGGCATTTTATCCCATTCATCTTGAACAGCTTTCTCAAAGTCCAAGGAGGGTTATGGGTCAATGTTTCAACAATCTGCTTTTAAAAGACCAAAAGCACAAAATCCATGGGTGATACATCAGGAGAATTACTAAGGGTATGAGTGAAGGGATGGCCTTGGTATCCAGTTTTTCTTCCTTTTTTTTTTCAGGAAATGAACTGTAAATTTTTATGTGTGGCTGCTTTGTCTTGATGCAGTTATACTGATTGGTGGTACTGTAAAGAGAAGGTGTTTCATATTTGAAAATTGGATATGGCATATGTTCCTGAAAATATGTGAAGTTGATCTTAACATCTTTCTCCACTATCTTTATTTTTAATTTTCCATTATATGGAAAACCAGCAACAATCTGTAATCCTTTTGAAAAAAAAAAAATTAGAGTCTTCCAATCATGCTTTGAGATTTTTTTCTCATCTTTTATGATAATAAATGGATCTCTTTTTATTTCAATCATTTAAATACACCCAACATTTATCTATTGTGACATAATTTTTCCATTTTTGCCCCTGTAAATGATTCTTATAAAGAATTCTGCAGCACGTTCTGCGTTCGGCAATGTATTGTGGAGAAAGACTATGCATGTTACATTGTTTTGCCTTTTCAAGATTCATATCAGCATTAATCTGTTTGTTGTCAGTTAACCCTGAGCATTTTAATAATTTTGCAATTGCCCTTTGACTTGGCTAATTTTCTTTTAACATTAAAAATTTCACTTTCGCAGCATTCGAAACATGGTGTTTTTTCCTTGGATAGGTATTTGGAACAAATTTTTCATTTGAAGCCAAACTTTGACGGTTTTTTTTCCTTTTTTGTTGACAATATTACCTATCATAGCTTTAGGTATCGAAAACCATGGATTTCACAGCATTTTTTAATAACTAGATACGAGTAATTTTCTTCGGAAAGAGCACAAACCTAGCCTTCTGTCCACTGCTTCTTTAAGAGCATTGTAGCAGACGATAATTTTTACTTTAAAAATATAGCTGCAGTTAAAAATTTTTTTTTTTTCTAAGCAGGCGATTTTTTTATAGCAAAGCATAATCGTCTCAAAAATGTGTGAACAGCCTTTGTATATGCACTGTATTCAAATTTTGTTCTTTAATTTTCTTAGATGGGCATTCTGTAAAGGATATTTTTTTCCCAAGCCATCCACGGCAAGCTTCTCCACAATTGTTGTTTTGGTCCTAATAGATAATTTCTTTTGTTTTATGAACCTGAAACATCAGTTCGGCCCTCCAACAAAAATTTTAATACCCAGCTTGAAGGCAAATTTTAACTGTTGACAGTGGTAATCCCTTTCCTGTTTGCTTCATTATCCATTTTTCTAAATTGTCTTCTAAAACAGGCAAGACTATGATGTCAGTATAAGAAGGTCTTTTATTTTTAGGCATTCCCTCTAATTTTTCTTGTTTGTACTTTCACCGCTAAATGCATTTCTCATCAACCTGAAATTCTCTAGCTGCAGCCTGATTTCTAATTTCTATGACTTTATTCACTGCCTAAAGGTTAAAAGCCAGCTATGTATCCTTTTCTTTGTGTAGGAGCCATAATTATAATAATAATAATTTTAAAATTCAGAAAGCACAAATGATGAAGTAAGCACTCCAATAAACAAGTCATAAAGCTTTATTTTTAAAGATATGTGCAATAATGAACATGGAACTTGGAAAAATGCATTAAAAAGAAGATGCTTATCAGAAAGCACAGATAAAACCACGAAGTTCAGCAGAAAGTACATGCATTCTGGTGTGTTGACACCGAGTGCACCCTATTGTAGAGTTTCATGCGAGTTCGAACTTATTGCACCGCCTTAGTGCAACCTGAGCCCTCATAACAGGCTAAAATATTGCAGTGAATTCAACATTACCAGATTTGCTTGGGCATAACTTACAATCTAAACTAGCGAAGTTCTAAAGAAGGAGGAAAGATAAAATTTCTTCAGATATACTGTAGACCTAAATTTTCAACTTTTAAGCACTTGTAAACTGTAGCTTATCTAGCAAAATTTCAATAACTAAATAGTTATTTAATAGCATGTTAATACATTGTTTCATCTGTTTCAGATATATTGGGCAATGCCTATTTGAGCTTGTATTTTTCTACGGATCAGAACCCAAATATGATTAAACAGTGTCTATCATCATACAGTCAGGCTGTAAGTAAATCTTTTGAAATTACTGCTTAACATTTCAGCCCCATGAATAAATTTTGCATATGTGCATTTATGATTATAGATTTTAATGAGATTTATATTTCAGGCTAATAAAATCTAGGAACTTAAAGTATGTAAATGAACCTGTTTTTCAACAACTTATATAGCAGCATATTGAGTACTTTCTTATTATCCGCACCCCAATGGAAAGTAACTAAATCATTGTTGACTTATTGGTGGAAAATATTTGTTTAGCTATTTTTTTTTACTCATAAGTACAGTTCTGTTCATACATAATGCTAAAAAGAAGTATTTTATAAAAAACCAAAGTTCTATTACAATATTAATCATAGAATTAGTGGGAATATTAAACAGAGAAATAGTAATAAAACACTAAGCATGCAAATCCATGTGTGTAGGCATATGTGTAGTATGCACTTGCTTGTGTTGGCTATTGTCACATGTATATTTCAAAATATGCTAGTGTGATTTTATGAAGTGTTGAAATTGGGGATGCAAATAATCAGAACGCAATCAATATTTTTATAGTGTTGTTATGTTTGAGAAGTTAGAAATGAAGGTAATAAATGCACTATCAACAAAGGAAAAACAAAGGAAAGAAGTCTCTTCTAGGCATCCATTGCTATGATTGCTATTGATTGTATACCACAGGCATGTATAGCTGCAGTAGTGCGATGAATGCCAGAAAGAATAATATTTTCTTTTCAGACAAATCTGGCTTCTGACTACAACACCATAATAGTTGTATCCGATTTTGGTAGCACCACAGTGACAGACTCTTGCATAATGCAATGCATACTTCCCCATCATCTGGAGTTATGGTTTGAAGTAGCATTAAATTTTATTTCCACACCTACCTGAAACAAATTGCAAGCACATTCAACAGCCAGTTCAGTGGTTACATTATAAGGTATTTCTCCCACTTTCCTAGCGTGCCTTCATGGTGTAACGGTAGCACGCTGGGCCGGTATTCCAGAGGTCCGTGGTTCGATTCCCGGCAAGGGCATTGCTCATTTTTCAAGTCTCCTGCTTCAAAACAAATCCTGATTTCTCTACAACTTATTAAAAATGATCCTTATCTTCAAAGCTTCCATGTAGCCATGTTTCAACAGGAACATATGCGATTGCATGTTACACATAAATTATTCATCATAATTGAATAGGTCACACTGCTGAATAGCCTGGTCACTTGGCCTAGCTATTCTCGCAATATGTTGTACTTCAAACTTGTTTGGTCTATGACCAGCTAATGAATGGCCCAGCATGTACACGGAATGGAAAAAAAAGGGGGGGATAGTTCTATATCTTCTGTTCCACTTGGCCGATTGATGAAACAAGGAGCACTAGTGGGACATCTGCTGTGCAGTCCCGTAATCCAACAGCATCCTCTGAACTGTGTGATCCAAAACATTTGTACCTGAACCTGCATTGTACTGGGCTGTCAGTCGAGCCATTGTCTGGCATTGATTTTGCGGTACCAAGCGGGACAATCTGTGACATCCATTTTCTTTGATGATGCGTGGACGTCAAACACCATGGCATCTATTGCTGGTTTCACCATCATTTATCCACTTTGCATAAATATTAACAACAGCAGATTGTGAACATTTACAAACCATGCAATTTTGGAGATACTCATTCCAAGTCTTCGGACCATTACAATCTGCCCTCTATCAAATTCACTTAGATTAGTCATAATGTTTTGGCTCGTTAGTGTATGTAGTGATAATGCATTGCAAATACTATTTCTTATTGTAGTACTTTTCAGCTATTAATTGTTCTGTCATTACGCAGTATTTCTTGATGTTATATTGTAATACATTTATTCTTTTGGCTTTATTACCAAATAATATCATGAGCCATTAAATTTATCTAAATGTAATATACCAAGTTTTGTGTCTAGAAAATATATTTGACTAATATATCAAAATGTATTTAGTATTTTCTACAGTTTAGCTTACAAACCAAACTGCAAATATGATGTAAACATTTTTAATAACTTTCAATAAAACTACCTGAAATCACATCATTGAAAAAGCAGCTTATTCATTTATTAAACAGTTGGGCTATAAACTCGTTACATTTTATGCAAATTATTTTAAAAATAATTAGATATTTAAAATTTATAACAGCAGTTTAATTTTTTTATCATTGCAGTATGCTGATGAATCTGTGAGGTGCAATCCATATCTGCATTATAACTGGGCAGTAGTGAGTATTTCATGTATTGAGTTTTCAAACTGGGTTTCTAATTTGTAAAATCAGATAGCTATAAAGTGAGATATACTTTTATTTATTACACTAATAAAATGCACATTTTAATTAAGTTTGCAGATTTCCTTTTTCCTCACAACATTTTTTATTGCAAGAAAACTGGAAATTCATGTCAAATAATGGAAATAAATATGAGAACAAATTATAATTTTTCTTTTTTGACAGCTTTTTTCAACATTTCTTTCTTTTATCTAATCACATATTTTCGTTTTCATGAAACTAAAATTACAAACTGGTTTTGCCTTTATATAGGTATATACAGTCAAAAGTCGTTAATTTGGACACCCATAATCCGGAATGATCTATAATCCGGACCTCAAAGCTACAAACTTTCTCCACATGCGTTGCGTTGACGCATGCTCGTAAGACCTTTACGGCTGCGAATATGCATGTGCGCATGCGCAAAATACGTTTACGAATGCGTGTTTAATGTATAACGGACGGCATAAGCTAAGCTAAAATTATCTAATTCAGTTAATTTTGCAGATTGCGTTGTTCCTTAATCTTCGAATTGGATTCGGCTTATTATTTTTTTTAAGACTGTTAGAGCAATTTTTATAAAAGTAAGCTTGAACTTTCGTTTATGTCAAATAGAATTTCCAATATATATTTACTAATATGTAATGCATCTACAAAGCGAAAGTATGTTTCGAAGTCTATTAAACAAAAAGTGGAATTCCTGCAAAAAATGGATAAAGGCATATTCTTTGTTTATCTAAACTTTAACGTTTGTTTATCTTTAATGCCACAGCGCACAATGAATTGGAAGTTGATTTGTCAGCACTATCCTTATCTTCAGCGCAGATGTTTTTATTTTATTTGGCTTATAATTCCTTACCAAATGTAGTATTTCATCTCGATATGCTCCGTCTTTGATATGATTTAAAACAAGTTCCTCGTCATTATAATTCGCTTCTGATAGCGAAGAAAAGTGACAGAGGTTATTGAAAATGAAAAAATTTCGATTGACAAATTAGTCGGTGTTCTTGACACAGCAATTATAGGACTTGAACAGTGGAACTTTGTAACTGAACAAGAAATTATGTCTGTTTAATAGAATTAAAGAGAAAGTATTATCACATGAAACGAAGCAAAACTTAAACAACTTACATTGAAAGAAATGTTTAATAAAGTAAACAAATAAATATTAAGCTTTTTCTTTTTGCAAATTTTGATACCCTTTAGATAATAATTGTTTTTTATTTCATAAATTACGGTTTCATATTTTTAATTTTAGAATTTCTGCATGCCATCTAACGAGATTTAAAGTGATGATCTATAATCCGGAAAAATCGATAATCTGGAATCGCCGAAGTCCCGACGAGTCCGGATTAACGACTTATTTTGACACAAAATCAGACTTTTTCTGAAATGACGCCAATTTTTTCCCCATATTTCGATTCTATGACGCAAATTACGTAAAACTGCCAAGTTTTGTAAAAATCGCATGAGTAGTTTTTAAAAAATTAGCCCTCAAAATTTTAGCTCCTCCATGTTAATACAGTGGTATGCATTTATTAATCTCTCCTTTTTTATTAAAGTTATTTTATTGTGTCTTTCACATTTCAAAATTTAAGTTCATTCCAAATAAAATTCGTGCATTTTCTATGATTCATTTTTAAAATTTGTATTTTAAAATAATTTTATAAATTTTTCGAAAAAATTTTGAATTATAACTTATAAAACTTTTGCCAGCATCTTAGTATTTCTAAGCATACCTGCAAAAAATTACAGCTTTTTATTCCAAATTTCTGAAGATATACGTGAATTTTTATATTGGCATGTTTTGAAATTTGGCATGTTTATTAAAAGCGATAATAATATCAAATGTGGTTTAGGCTCTTTGTTAAAATTATTTGGAAGTAGGAACGATGTGACTTTTTTTCTGCTCCTGTACAATGGATGGGAAAGAAAAATAGGTTGCCATATATTAAGAAGTTCGCCAAGTGAATTATTCTAGGGGCAAACTGAAATTCGCCAAAATAAATTTTTGAATTTCTCCATAAATTTTGCACTTAATCTTACAAAATTTAATACTTAGGCATAATTTGAGTCATAGAATTGAAATATGGAAGAAATTTGGTATGCTATTTCAGAAAAAGGTCCTATTTTGAATCAAAATACCTATGTTAGAGCAATGCTATATATATAGAAATAATTTGAACGTTGAATTTATGTAGATGTATCCAAAAGTAGTTGTTGACTCATAGCCAGTATGATAGTTCTTTATTTTCATTAAAAACATTTTTGATACATCACTCATAAATTGGTACTAAGCATGCAATTTTTACATTTTTGAGATGTTGCAGTAAGAAACGTAGTGACAGCAATCTATCTGTATAGGGAAGCAGAGAGCAAATGTGATATTTCCAAAATGAAATCCCCATTCAGAGTAATTTAGTTTCAGTTCAGATTTATCCTTAATGGCTACTTTAAATTTTAATTCACGAATTTGAAACCATTATTGTCTGAAGCCTTATTGATTCATGTTTACATCATTTCATCAAATGAAATTTAAGCATCATACTGTGGTATGCAAAATTAATGGATGAGACAGGCTTTCACATGTAACACTGTGCAGAAGTGTTCACATCAATCCAAGTCATATCGTAAGATTTTCAAGATATGAAAATTGGGAACAAGTGACCAAAACCATGCAGGCAGGGAATAAAAAAGATAAAAAGGCACTTTATTGAAAAGACAACTGAGCATAGCTGGAGAGAAGACAGAAACATCCATATGACAGGTATCTGATGAAAAAAAAAAGTCTAGTCTTTAGAAGAGATATAATCATTCCTTACTGCAATGCAGAAATTACATCTGTCCATACTGCAGACAACATTGTCAATCCAAGCGGCATAGAATAATTATTAAAAAATTTTTATAGTCAAAATTGCTCCTTTACTCACTTTGCAAAGTCATCCTGAGATTTGGCCATCTTATGGTACCACTTCTTTTGGCTCATTTCTGATGTGGTATATTTTCAAGGTCTTCTTTTTCAGTCCTCCGACATTGAATGCATCACTTCTCCACTTCAAATTCTCGAGCTGCTGTTCTATTTTCAGTTTGTTTAACATGGAAAATTACTATATGCTTAGAATCAGCAGTACAGTTTAAGTGCAATTTTCAAAATTTTCCCATTTCCTTCATACTTAAAAACTATCCAACAAGTACTTATATTGAAGTTAACAAGGATCTGTAGCTGTCAGAATGCCAAAAAGAATCAGTTTGTGCTGAAGGGAGAGAAAGAAGAAATAATTCGGAGTATATTATTGGAACACAAATGAAGTCATGTTCACATTTGCAAGAACAACAGTAGAAAGAGGAGGGGAGATGATGGGCTTCAGAAGATTCATCAAAAGGCAGAGAACAGAGGCCATTCAAGCTGATGTGAATGCTGATTTGAACAAGGGAAGAATGAAACTGTTCTAAAATCCCATTTAGGCATGTAGGTCCATTCAAGGGAAAGAATATAAGTGCAAAAATGTTTGCAGAAAGCAACTGGGTTGTCTTCTGTGTAGGATCCAAGTTATATACAGTGATTCAATACTTAATGAATAATTTTTTTAAGTGCACGCGAGCACCACATTGGTGGAAATTCTGCACCTACTAAAAATTTAAGTTTTACACATGTAAATGCCGCTGTATTTCTTCCAAAAATTATAATGCAGTAATCATCTGCAGTGCTAAAACGAAGGCAAAATTTTTCCTTTAAAATGTATTTCTATAAAACATTTACTAGTTTTGTATATGTAACCTAAAGTTTAAATTTTAGAGGACAATTTTTAAAAAGTGATAATTCATACCATACAAAATTATTTTTTTAACATACTGTATAAAAGAAGGGAAGTGTGAAGATGTTAATGCAGAAAACAGTCAGAAACTCATTTATAGTTGCTAGTCCAAAAATTGGCAGAGAGTATTTGTTAGTCAATTTGTAATTCTCTTGCATGTGGATTTAGGTTTTCTTAGACAAGAACATTGCATATATCCCAAGCAGAAGACTTTTATCTACTAAGAGATGCTGGAAAATCTAATTGCACTGCCTGTTCTATAAACTAGTGGATTCATTTAATGCGATAAGGATAAATCACAACTGTCAATGCATGAATCCTAAGCAAATGGTGTCCGTTTTAGAAATCAACTAGCACATGGAAAACTAAGGTAAAAATGAGATCAAAACTCTAGGTCAACATGTCAAAACTGTGTTTAAACAAGCAGAATGAAATTTACAAGTCAGCTGGCAACTCTGCAATAATCCTGTTTAATTGTTTTCTTCCACACAAAACAACTGCCTTCTACAACAACTGTCTAAAACACATCAAAGAATTTTGTTCTTTAGAATTATATGAAACTGAATCTAAATACTGTTGCCTGTGTATGGGTTCGTAATAGATTGAATGCACACAGATTCGATGATAGATTAATAAAAATTTATTTTATCAAAATAAAAACTTCAAAGTTCTGGAATTTTTCACAGAAATACTCATATGGGAGTTCACAGTACCACAAGCAGTAGTTGCACATCAAACTACTAAGAACGTTAAATACAACATAGTGCAAAGCACATGTAAACTCAAATACTAACTCAAATATTTCAGTTCACACGGAACTAACAACAATAACTAAGCAACTGAGAGAAAATGCTCTCTCTTCGGTCTTAAGTAATTTTCAACCGGCTGCTGAGATAGTCCTAGTATTCTCTGCTGCTCGAAATTACTGGAAAGCAATATGGGGGTGAAATTACTGTTGCAGTTAACACGGTGGTCAATTACATTTATTTAATTTCAATACATGTTATGGTGATACTGGGACCGAACCAAAATGTTGCCAAATGGTTGCCAAATTTGGTGACAAAATAAGCTGCCAAAACTGTTGTCAGCTTGCTGATACCTTGCCAAATTACCAAGATACTCATTTACTCAAAATTAAATGCACGTGCCTCTGTATTCTTACTTTTCTGGCATAGCTTCTGTTTAGATTTTTTCATGTTACAAAAAAAAATACAAAAATTGTACTTATAATTCTACTAAAATTACCTATCTAAGTATAAAATTGGTAACACTATATATGACAAATTGCTGAAAACAATATACATCCTCCTGATTTTGTGGAAAAACTCACCAAAAAAATCAACAAGCTAATTCCTGCTTGCTAAAGCCATCCATTCAAGATCCAGCTGACGAAGCAGACAGGTTGTTTGTGAAAGCTCCGGTTATTTAAATTTTATTCTATTTAGTTACATATGAGTCTGATCTGTCTGAGTTATCCCATTTTTAGAGGGCATCCCTGTTATAAAACTCTTCATATTGTGATATGGTTGCATTCATGCTGTAAGTATTGACAATCATACTTGTGTCCAGATGTGTAAAGCTTAGTCTTCAATTTCAGGAGTTTTTACATTTCTTACATGACCATCATCATGCCTGCTGAGATTAAACATTACGAATTAAAAAAGCTAGATATGCAAATGCTCAAATGTTACATGATCCCGTGCTTGCCCAATGGGGATGTGTTCATAATGCAGTTATTGTAATGCTGTTCCATTTATTTGAGGGGGCCACTGCATGTATGCTTTCTTACCATGTGTAAAATGATTTATCAAAGGTAGAATCCTCATTGGGACTCATTGGAAGTTTTTGAAAACATTTACTTATAAAGAATACTAGAAATAGCTTTCTAATATTTTCTGTCTTCAGTTCCTACCAAGCACTGTATTATGAAAACTTCTTGTTGTAGTGTTTTTTATCATTCCTTACAGTTTGTTCCATTGAATTTAGAGATCCGCTTTAAAGACAATTATCACATATCCATTAACTTTTATGTTTAAGGAAAGTATGTTGTCGTGAAATGCCCAATTGCAGTAAGATAGTTTCCCTGCAAAACAGGTTTAGGATGGGGATGTTGTGCCAAATCTGGAGATACTGCCTTTCCTTGCATAGAGTGGCAAGGAAAGGCAGTATCCCCAGATTTGGCACAAAATCCCCCATTCGACGACATTTGTTGACAAAATTGGCGATATGCTGTCGAGGGAGCAAGCACATTGTAAAGGGAGATCGACCGAGTGAGGATCTGTACTTTAGGGCTTTGCCATGAAGCTGTGTTCACCGTTATGGCCTGATAGCCTGAAGGCTGTGTTGCTAATTGTTTCAGTGTATTTATCATAGTATTTCAATGACTGTAACGTGTCTTTGGAACTGTCCTGTGTAATACTGACGATTAAATTGTATTTTGATTCTTCATTAAGTGTTGTTGTCAATCACTCCAAATCCATGAACCTGTAGAATGCAATAATATTTACTTAATTTTACTTCAGAATTTATTAAACTATTTATTTATTTATTTATTTTTTGTGGAGTACCTTCAGTGTATGAAGCTTTTATACATGGAATCTTTTTATAAAAAAGCCTTGCAATTTTCTTTTAAAGTACTTTAAAAATAGAGAACTATTATAAAGTCTTGTATTCAGGCCAATACATTATATTGATTTGATCTTTGAATTGGAAAATGCATTTTATTTCTTTTTATTTTTGTAACTTCACAGTATAATTTGTAAATATTTGCTGTATTTCATTTCCCCCTCCATTCTGTTCATGTCCCTTGACAGAATATTATGTATTGAATATATTAATACTGAATATTGTTTAAATATTAATATTTAATATTTTTCATCTTAAAATAATTGAATTTTAATTCTTGTTTGATAAAAGTTCTATTATTTTCTGAGTTTGTAATTTCGCAAATTTTAATTGAATATGAAAGGAAAAAATATTGAATTATTTTAGCAGTATTTAAAAATTGTATTTGTTTTTCAGGCACTGAAATATGATGAGAATTACAGGCTAGCATTAGAGAACTTAGAGAATGCTTTAAAGCATGATCCATTATGGAATGAACCGAAAGAGCAGCTTGAAATATTAGTTAGGCTCCTGGAAAATATTCAATTAATGGTTACAAAAAAGGTATATGACAAATGGTATTCATAAAATAAAATTTTATATTTATTGCTTTTATTTTATTTATTAGATTAGGTTATTTGAATATGGCAAAGCCATAAGGGCTATCTGCTTAAGATGAGAGTTGCCTTTGTGGAAGACTTTCTGAGGGAAACTGGCTCATATTCATTTTACACATGGAGAAAGGTCATGAAAATCAACTATGCAGGCAACTCATTTGCCTGGAATCAAACTCAAACCAGTTCAAACTACCAGTATTGTGTGGCCTTAAGCACTTGCCACTGGTGGGGTCCAAAGGATTTTATTTTTTACTTTTATTTATAGCTATTATATATTTTGACTGAAAGCTTGAATACATATGTGCATACTTTGATGCATTTTTTCATATGAAAATATAATTTAAGTTACAGATAGCATAAATTCACTGTAGGGTAAATATTTCCAGTTTCCTTACTAAACATAGTGGATATTAAACATTATATGTTTTAAGCTCTGAGATTGTTCCTTGTCAAAAACTGTGAAAAGTTTCATTGCTAACTATTATACAGATTGCTGTACAATTTTATGATGGATTAGAATACAGTTTTGTGAATAATTTAAGCAAGAATATTAAAAAAAAATTCTATGTTGAATGGGATTTATAGTGAAAGATAATTTGGGAGCTTATTATTCAGGGATGTAATTTTATAAGATCCTCAGATAAAAGCATGAATCTTTTTCCAAAATTCAGATATACTGTGCCTATATGTAAACTGTGCCTGTAAATTATTGACCTGTATGCCCATTGCAGATGCTTTTGATGTATATTATGCAGTCACACTGAAATATTGCCATTGCAATTATTAAGAAAAAAACAAGGCATATTCGTACATGAGATTGCATGTTTAACATGATAAAGATAAGAGTATTTATTGTGATGTGGTGATAATAGTCAAATTTAATTTTTAAAGTCAGGATTGTAAATATGAGTTTAAAAAATTAGATTTATAAATTTCTTTGTAAAAAATTTGCTGCTTTTGATTTGTTACAGGTTTCAAAGGTATTGAGTTAAATGCAGAGAAAAATTGTTTTGAGGGGATGTTTCTTGGATAATTTATTACATGCAGTGTTAATTTTGTATTGATTATAATATATTTAAATTATGTTCACTGAAAAGGCATGGAGTCTCTGAAATGCATGAAAAATGTTAGTTACTTAAGAGATTAAGAAAACTGTAAAATTAAATGAAGTATTATAAATCACGAGTATAACTAAGCAAACTTTAAAATGGTCAGTAAATTTTAACAAGTATAACGAACTTGTATGCATTTTGTACTTTAAAATTAATCATTAATTAATAATCTTGTATATATTGCATATTTTAAGTATGTAAGTTAAAATATTCTGAGCAGGGATTGAATATGTAATGAAAGACATTAACAAAGATGTTCAGTAGAAGTAATGTTACATGTTTTTTTAGTTCATACATTTAATGTTTTAAAATATAGTACAGTTACTTGCTTAAAGCTAAAAATCTCAAAATATGCATTGGGATTGATTCAGTGTACTGTCATATTGAAGATACTATTAAGTTGTCCCCATATACAGTCAAAAGTCTTTAATTCGGACTCGTCGGGACTTCGGCGATTCCGGATTATCGGTTTTTCCAGATTATAGATCATCAGTTTAAATCTGGTAAGAGCATGCAGAAATTATAAAATTAAATATATGAAAACGCAATTTATGAAATAAAGAGCAATTATGATCTAAAAAATATCAAAATTTACAAAAAAAAAAAAAAAAAAAAAAAGAAGCAGCTTAATATTTATTTGTTTACATTATTAAACATTTCTTTTAACGTGCGCATGCGTAAAGCATACATTACGCATAGTCGAAATTAGAAAATTGTAACCAGAAAACTATTTGATGTGTATTCGTGATATTTATAATGACGAGGAAATTGATTTAAATTATATCGGAGTACATCAAGATGAAACACTACATTTAGTGAGGAATTATAAGCCGAATAAAATAAAAACATCTGCCCTGAAGATGAGGATAGTGCTGACAGATCAACTTCCAGTTCATTGCGCGTCGCAACGTTCCCCCCTTCCGCAGAGTAGTGTGAAATTGATAAACAGATTTCGGAATGGTTAGAGAAACAAATCACCTCTCTGTCACTTTCTTCATGCCTTTATCCATTTTTTGCAGCAGTTCCACTTTTTGTTCAATGGACATCGAAACATGCTTTCGCTTTGCAGATCCTTTGGCAGCTCCAGCATTGGAAATTCTATTTGACATAATCGAAAGTTCAAGCTTACTTTTATGAAATTACTGTAAAAGTCTGCAAAAAATAATAAGCCAGATCCAATTCGAAGATTAAGGAACAACGCAATCTGCAACATTAACTGAAATAGATAATTAGATAATTTAACTTAGCTTATACCGTCCATTATACATTAAACGAGCATGCATACACGCATATGTGCATGCATAAAGGTATTACGCGCATGCATGAATGCATTATGCGTTGACGCATACGCAGAAAGTTTGCAGCTTTGAGGTCTGGATTATAGATCATTCCGGATTAACAACTTTTGACTGTAGTAATATTAATTTTATAACATATTTAGAAGTTTGTAAATTTATGCAGTTTCATTATTTTGTCCAAGCAAAATATTTTAAATATTTCTCACCATTTTTGAAAAGAATACCGAATACGAATAAGTATATTTAACTGCGTTGAGAAATATCTTTTAAGAAGTTGGGAAAATCTATGTAAGAAGATTTTTTAGTACTTTTTGATGCATATATTATTTTCACATGCTTGTTTCTCCAATATTTACAAATATTATGAGCAAATGATTTTGTTTCTTTCCAAATTAAAAATAATTAAGAATGTAATCATACGTTTAAATGTATATATTTGTTGCACATATGAGTTATTAAAAAGCCTTTTAAAATCTTTAAAAAGGAAATAAATTTAATATTGCATAAATCCACAGATATTTCAGTAAATAAGTTTCAGAGAAAGTTATTTTCATTTTGATAGACTTCATTTTTATTTGTTTGCAGAGCAGGGACAAAGGTGAACAACCAGAAAGTGTGCCAAATTAGCTATGAAAAGTTAGAAGTTCAAGAAATTATGCTTATTAAATAACTGTATGACTTCTGAATACATCAAGAAGCATAGTTTTAAAATAATAAAACTTTATTAACACTATTTACAATAATTTAAAAGCACTGTTGCTTTCATTTTCTGTATAATATGGCCATCTGATTTTCTTTAACTATAATTTGTAACCTTTGTTTTCTGTCAGAATTTGTGCCTTCTAGTTTGTGTTCAGCACAGGATAGGGCCAAAATAATAAGCAGCAAAATTATTGAAATATGAATATACTTATGTAATTTATTACTCTCTAGCAATCATTTGCACAGATGGTGTAGTGCAGTGGTGCCCAACCTTGTGCTCGCCGGCCCAATTAGGTACTATGAACAAAAAATATTTTTAAAATAACCATTCATTTATATTTCTTATTTGTTAAAATATGGTAAGCATTTATAGTCATAAGAGATATCTTGCAAGACATTATTAAATAATTGATTGCTGACTGATGAACTTGATAGCGAACATAGAATCTTATTGCTTCACTCCGATGTTAAATGGCTCAGTAGGAGAAAAGTAGTACTTCAACAATTTGTGGAACTTCTTTCTCCAATAAAGCAGTTTTTGGAATCCAGAAACGGAAGTCTTAAAGAGTTGGCCGATAATAATTGGTTATCTGATTTGTATTTTCTCACGGATATAACAGCTAAAGTGAACAAACTGAATGAAGATCTCTAGGGACAAGAAAAAACCCTTTTTAAATTGACTGGGACTGTAACTGCTTTTTAGATAAAGTTAAATTTGTAGATAAATGAGATGAAAGAAAAAAATGTCACCCATTTTTAGAATTTATCATTTGTAATTCCCAATTTCAAAATAGGGACTGCTGTTATTACCACATGGCATGTATTTATTTTTATTTTGGTTGATAGCTAGATGCATTTTGTTGGCTGCAGCCTCTAGAGATGTAAAAGCCTCTATAAGTGACTCGGGAGTATTAATGTTGGGCTCTTTTATGATTTTTTGGATGGCAAGGTTAAAAGCAAGCAGGCCATTACATCACCCTGTCTGAGCCCATTTGAAACAACAATAGGCTCAGAAAGATTATTCTGGATTTTAACTCTTAAGTTTTGTCTCAGTAAGAGTAATGGTGACTAAATTTATAAGTTTTTCAGGTATTGCAAATTCTCTCATAGCTTCAATTAAATATTTTCTGTTTACTGAATCGTAGGCAGTGAATTACCACCTTAGTTTAGTTTTCTATTGAGACTAAAGACGTGATTACTCTTTTTCTAAGTTTTTCACTAGTTTAGTAAAAGTTGTAGAGACAGTAGATTTTTTTTTTTTTTTTTTTTTTTAAGCAGGAGAGTTGAATAATGAACAGTGCCCTCACCGGGAATCGAACCACGGACCTCTCAAATATGCGCCGAGCATGCTGACCACTATGCTAAGAAGCAGGAGAAATACATTATATACTCCCCCTTGGGACCCAATCGCCAAATCCTGATGGTGGAGAATCATCATCTACCACCTTTTTTAGTTCGAGCGCCACTGCAAGGACATAAGGTATATTTTTGAAGCAGGACAGTTGAAAAATGAGCAATGCCCTCGCCGGGAATTGAACCATGGACCTCTCGAATACACGCCAAACGTGCTGACGACTACACTATGAAGGCTTGCTAAGAAGGCGGGAGAAATACCTTATAAAGAAATAAATAAAAGGATTTTTTTAAATTTTGAATTTTGTAGGGGAAAAATTAAGGCAAACTGTTCTGGCTAATACTAAAATAATTTACTAAACTGTTCTGGCTAATTCTAAAATAATTTACTAAACTGTTCTGGCTAATTCTAAAACAATTTACTTTAGAGATTAAAAAAACAGAAAAAACTGATTTTTCACTGGTAATATAAAAGGGTGCGAAAACCGATATCATTAAACGAATGCAGGAAATAAACATCGATTTGAAAAAGTAATCGTAGTGAAAATAAATATATTTTTCTCTATTAACATTTTTAACATTAACAAACTGAGTTAAACTGCCTAAAAAATGTCAGTAATACTTAGAAATAGCTAAAATTCTTAACCTTGTATGTAGAATTTATATATATATTTACTATTTTATACCGCTGTACTGTTTCTTGATATTTAATGTTATATTTTATCAAGATTAACATTAAGGAGTTAGCTATTTAATTTATAGTGATGTTTAATTTGTATACAAATTAACATCAAATTAATTACAAATTAAACATCACTATGAATATTTTATTATTGCTTCAAGTTAACAACTTGCTCTCATGCAATTTTTCTGAGAAGGATCTTATATCATAATATAGTTTCATGTAAAAGTTGATTTATCTTAATCTTTTTTAATTATAGGGCAAATTAAAACCGAGGAAAATTAAAGATTTGTTGAATTCTTTGAAAAAAGAATATGAAAATTCTGATTCAAAAATTACATACATTAATTCAAAAGGACAATCTGTAATTTTACATCGATCAAAATTTTCTGAGCTCCAAGTTGGTCTAAACGTAGATAAAGTTTTGATTGGAAAAGTTGTTTGTCAAGTCTACTGTGCTGAATCACCATCATTGTAAGTTTTATAGTTCTCTATAAGTATTAATAGTTTCTGTAAAATTTTTGTAATTACTAAAATTATTATTGTTGTACGTATTTTTTTTTAACCTTGAAGTATTAGAATATACTGATGTCTTCAGTTTTAACCAAATAATGGTAATAATAATAATGATGATACTAGTAATCTCTGTTATTAAATAATTAAAAATCTGTATGCATGTGTGTTCCTCGCATTGTGAAAAATGGCTATGCCTAGATCCACCAAATTTTAAGGGGACATGTGATATATCGACTGGCAAAATGCAGTTATTTTGGGACAAAGGTTATTACGGTATAACTTTTCTCAAAATAAGCATATGCTCTAAATTCCTTTTTCATTTAAAATAGACAGCTTGTAGATTATATTAAACAGTTATTATAATTTTGCTTACCTTTGACGAATCTTTGTGACAGTGTGCTGGTTTGGTACACTTTTCTTAAAAATACCGCATCAAACTCCTTCAAATTTTCCATGATGGTTAAAAACATATCATTTAAGAATAATAAGCAGTATTTTACATTTTACTTAAAAAGAAAAAATGTTAAAAATAAATTAGTAAAATATTTTGAAAATCATATAAAAAAATGGTATTAAATTTTTAATATACCCAAAACTAAAGATCATAAATTTTATATCCTGCATAGTTTTTAAGAAAAGTGTACTGAAAGGGGAAAAAAAAAAAAAAAACGTTTTGAGAAAAACTGAAAAAACAATTTAAACACTAATAATTTATAAAAAAAATCATTTTAAAATTTTCCTGCACCATAATTATCTTGAACTGGCATTTCTGAATCTAGTTGTTTTAGTTGTTAGTTTATTAACTTATGTTTTGTTTCTGGCCATTTTAGAAAGCTTTTTTGGTTATGCGATATGGGCCTCACAAATTCTATCGCAATCTAGTTTTGCAAAAACTTTACCGTATAAAACCCTGGTTGTATTCCCATTAATTCGATTAGTTATTGCTACTTTGCACACCATCATTAAAACATATTACTGTATCTAATAAAGTTAGTTTTAATGTGATGACACTCGCAAAAACTTTGGTATGCGTGTCCAGATGCATTCTAGACAATTATTAAAATTTTCATTTGGGTTTTGAATTGTTGTTGTTTACATGTCTGACGTATAGCAGCGCAAGGGGCACCTGTCGTTGGCAACAGCCTTGAGCACCTTACAGGTGACAGTGCAATTTAGCTCAGTTCCGCCCCCAATTTTGATGGAGAGCACCCCAGGGGGGGCGGGTGAAGTTCTCCCACCCTTCTTCCCATACCATCCACCTCTCGTATCGAGAGTATTTTCGGCTTACTGCATATTTTGGGTGCTTCCATGCCACACGGACGCTAGACATGTACAAACATCAATGCCTTCTCCAAGATTCAAACCTGGGCCCTTCGGCACAGCAATCAGTGTCGCTAACCACTATACCAGTTGAGCGATGGGTTTTGACTTCTTCCATGAATGCAATTTGAAAGTAGTTTTTTGTCAGAGAGACTTCTTCTCAGCTAATAAAACAAGTTCTAACAAAGAATATTTCTGACCATACTTTTTAACAGTTGATACGGCTTTATTGTTGCCACATCAGACATCTGTCCCTTCTCAACTGGTGGGCCTGCTAGTGCTTGTTTACATTTTTTAATGAAAGATTTCGGTGTTAAAATTTCTAAACATGGATAAATTATATATTTTTGAAATCATCTAAGGGTACTTTATTTTTTTAGTGTAAAAATGAAAATTTGTATGTCATATGTCTCCTTAAACACATATAGAACATGTACACCTTGAGGTCTGAATTTGGAATTTGCTTATTATTTACTTCAAAGTTCTTTCAAAATTAATGAATTTTTTATTAACAAACTTGACATTTTAAAAGCAATGTGTTACCATTCAGTAAAAGATATAATTATTGGAGAAGTTAAACAACAAGAATCATTGTAATTTCAGCATTTGCACTTAGGCAACTGAAGAAGACGGTTCTGTATTTAAACCATCGAAACTAGTCCTTCAAAACTTACAAACATTACGCTGATTCTTGTTTAACTTCTCCAAAAATCGTTATTCCGCATGTTATTTTAATCTAGAAAAAGACGTAAGGTATTTATGTTTCAAACTTAATCAGAAAACTCAATGATTGAAATGAAAGTGTTGCCACTCGAAAACGTATAAGATATTTATCTTTTAAATTTAATCATCAGACCTCATGATTTAAAAGAAATCTGTTGCCACTTTCTGAAATAAAATTTTTTATCCTTCATGTACCAGTGTATTAATACTTAGCAAAGGGAAAGAAATTAAATTTTTTTTCTAAATTTAATGTCTGTTATTGATTAAAAAATTGAGCAATTTAAAAGCCATAAATACAATTCTTTGTTTCTATTATTATTAATTTACTGACTAGATTCATACAATCAATTTACTGACTACTGAATAATTCTCCCCAGATTTCTTATATAAATAAATCTAATGGCAGTCTTCAAAACATGCATAAAAAATGTATCTACTCCTGTCCTTCTAAATAGAGTTTCCAGTAAAATTTTAGGGTCTAACTAAATAGTAGAAATTGATAACAGTCTTTTTACAATGCTCAAAAACAAAGTGTATCAAATACTGATTGATTATTGAATGAAGAGGCATCAGTTCCTTCAGAATTTTGCAATAACAACTAGCACATCTTTGTGAGATTCTCCGCCAACTTTCATAATTCGATGGTAAAAGACTTTATGGTCAATGGGATAATATGTAAGTTCCCATGACTCCAGCAGAAGTTGAGAAAAACTTACAGAAAAGAAATTTTTTTAAACATTTAACCCTTTGCACTTGATGCCTTTTTTGCTTGGGCGAACCAGCAACTGAAGGTACTTGCAGTCCTACAGCTCTTTTGCCAGATACGTATAGTATTTTTTGTGGTATTTTTCTGGATTATATACACATTATCCATTCTGAATTTTTCCTCTCTTCTGCATAGTCACTGTTACTTTCACATTTACTATATATTACCTTGGTTTTTAGCCTTCTTACACCTCTGCTTTCATTATCTTCATCAATGCTTTCCCTTTCCTGTGCATAACCATAATTTCATATTTCATCAACAAAAAATTAAACTCATCTGAACTCGAACTGATTCCTTTATCGCATTACAAGCTTACAAGGCTCCGTAACCTTGAAAATAATATTTCTGTAGCCATAACTTTCGAGTCTGGACTAACAGTGAAGATCCATGTATAAGAATAAGTTTGAAAAAATTTACATAAGATAAAAAATTGGCAGTTGTTTTATGCATATGCATTATTGAAAATGCTCATGAAGTGATATTGCCCAAGCCAAACCTAAATAAACATCATTACTGCACAGATTACCGTGTCAAACTGAATGGTGATTAAGATTCACCTCTTGAGTTACTACCTCAAATCAGGTGATAACCAAGATTCACCTCTTGAGTTACTGCATCAAATCAAGTAGTGACTGAGAGTCATATCTTGAGTTATCACATCAAATCAACTGGTGACCAAGAGTCATATCTCGATTCCAAAAGATTCAAATGGTGGAATGAACTGCTGTTATATATTTTCGTATCTGGAATTTTGTGCTGAAATTAAATTATTGTAAAAATTTAGGTAAAATAACTGCTGGTTGCAAAAAAGATTAAAATTATAAAAATAGTTATAACTACCATATTTGACAGCATATAAGACGCACTTTTTTTCTTAAATTTCGTCTTAAAAAAGTTACCTGCGTCTTATACGTGGAGGACACAGGTTAACTTTCAATACTGAATGCTATTTTTAGCCTGGATAAAGGTCTAGACACACATAACTTTTTCTACATCTACATGTGTGTGGCCTTCTAAATAAGGGTGCGTCTTATATGCCTTCAAATATGGTAATTTATAACTGCAGAATATAAGCATTTGTTATGCTTCAAATATGGATTTATTAACAAATAATTTGAATACTGTTAAAAACATCTAGGTATTCAAAATTTTTGTCAGACTATTTATTTTGTTAAATGAGTTTTAATATAATTATAGTCTTGTTAATTTTTAGAATTATATTCTCAAAGCTATTTAATATATATTTAGTGTATATTATCAGAATCAGAATTATGACTTTCATTCATAATTTTGCTGATAGATTAAAAGAAGAAAAAAAAAAAAAACAACATATTAAAATGAATGTGTGTTATGTCTGATGTAAATTATTATGTTGAAGAATGATAAAAACAAACAAAGATAAGGGGTATGCAATTAAATGGAATTTTTTGGGCAAGTAAAGAAATTAAAAACACCTCATAGACTGGAAATTTAAAATTATTTTTAAGTATAAATATTTAAGAGATAAACAGAGATATTTTTCAATACAGATTTTACATGTGAAAGCAATTTTTTTGTGTTTTATGACTAAAAACTGATGAGATTCATAAAAACTTCCAGAAATAATTATACTAAATTTAAATTTTAGCACATTTTGTATGATAGATGAAGATGAAAATTGCTTTGCTGTAAATGTGTATAATATGCTTCAAGGAAAAGGTGTCATCATCGGTGATACTGTAGCCATACATCAGCCTCTTGTGCAGCATTTCAACTTTAGCTTTAAGGATAAGGTATAATTTGAAATTCAGAATTAATATTTTTTACTTAGATTTATGTTGCTGAAAATCCTCTACTTTGATTTCTGTGGTTATAAGAAATAGTGATGCATTTAGCTATATAAATTGAATATGCTATAAATATCACAATTAAATTTATTTTTTGTTATTTCTGATACTGACACTTCAGCTCTGAGTACTATAATATCAGAATACTTTTTCAGTGTAATAATGATTTATTTCATTGTTTATATTAAAAACTCTAGTCATAATGTTTTACATCTTGATCAATTTTAATATCATTTAATTTACATCCCTCTTATTAGTAGATATAAGTTTCAATGTATTTCATATTTAGGGGCTCATTTATAGCAGGCTATTTAGACTGTTAATATGTGCATTTGAAATTATATGTTTATATACTACAAATTAATAGCAAATAACAATTTATCATTTTTCAGTAATGGGATTACAATTTAGAGCTCTATTAATTAAATATTAGAGTATAAAAAAATCAAGGCGGAATTTTCTATAGATAATATGAAAATATATGTTTATATAATGTATGCATATTCCTTATAAAATATTCATAATTTTGCTGTAGTTATGTCTTTCATATCTAGTTACTAAAAAGCCATTCAAATTACAAAATACGGTAAAATAAATAAAATAAAAATAAAAACAGAACCTCGTGTATAAACCTATATGTATAGATTTTGTATAAATTTATATTTATTTCGAGGCCAATTGACATAGGTCCTTCTTCAAGGAGCAAGAAAGTCTGCTCTGGGATCAGAGCAAGGAATGAAAAAATAGATAAAAAATACTGATGAAAAAAAATGAAATGATGAGAAAAAATACTGATGAGCTAAGGCAAAGTGAATGTAACTTGAGCTTCGTAAAATTAAAGTAGAAGGGAAATTTGAAGCTGATAGATTAAAATTTTGAAAGAAACTGAATTGGAATTAATGCATTAATTAACTTAAGTTTGAAAATTTTTATCATTATAGAAAGTTTCAACGAAATCTAATGCACTAACTAAAAGTATTTTTATATATTTTAGTGGAAATAAAGTTAAAATTATGGCCGACAAGCCACTGTGATTAATTATTGAAAAATTATTTATCTTTTCTTTTTCTAATGTAAGATTTATGTTCTTACATTAGAAATTGTTACATTGTTATTGTACAATTTGAATGTTTTAGTTTGGCCAATGTATGTTAAATCACAGTTACGAGGAATAGTATAAATTTTTAAAGAATTCAAGATAAAAAGGTTTTTAAAGGCTGAATAACAAATTTTATTTAAAGGTAATAAAATTATTTTGAAAGTTGAATTTGTGGAGAATCCTGCAAATTTTGAAACTAACAGTAGGAGACAATGGGCTGATTCAAAATTATTGTGTTTTAATAGGAGAATGGCATGATGAGACCTTTTGAGGTCGTTTGTCAATTTTGCCTCTGTCATTGGTAATAGGTTTCATAATTCTGTGACTTATCGTCTATGCAGTATTTGGATTAAGTATTGTACAATTGTAATTATTACTATATGTGTCATATGTTGAAGCCATTAAAAGAAGAGAAGACAAATGAGTTATAAACAGTAATTAGAACAAAAAGAACACGCTGCTGAACAAATATCAACGAAGCTAGCTGTTAATGAGTGACAAGAATGGCCAAAATATGAGTAAATTTGCAGGATTATATTTCAAAGGTTAACAGAATCTTCTTCAGCTGCATAATCTTGAAACTATAGTTCTGCAAATTTGTTCATCTTATGCCCATTTTTGTTACCCATTATAGTTTCTTTAACAAAACAGTAATTATCTTAAAATATAAAATTAACTTACTATCCAAATGATTAAAACTAGCTTGAATGATTAAAAAGGGATCCAGATTGTTTTGTAGAAATAATTGCGACCGAGAAATTTAAATTAGAGCAAATTTACTGATGAATTAATTTCAGGAAAAAGTCCAAACTTGAGAGAGTTGCTGGTGAAGAAATTGAAATTTAGTTATCATGCCATAGAAATGCATGTTTCTTGAAATAGGCATAAAATGTTGCGTGATTAGAAATGTATTAAACAAAAAGTTTTTTTTTTTTGATAAATTTTTAGATTAGATTTTCCCCCCAATTTTTAGAAATAAAATAGAGAAATTTCTGCACCCAAACATATGATTTTCAGTTTTTCCCATCCCTATAATATTTTAATTCTACCTCGTTTTTTTGTGTAATGAAAATATTGCTCACAGTTGCTGTGAAACAGGGTTTCTTAAACTGTGGGTGAGGTCGCAGGACCTGCAGCAGGGGGTCGCCAAAAATTTTAGCAGTTTTGATATTTCTTTAACTTATTATAATAATTTGACAATTACTAAATAATTTTACATAATATATCTGAAAATAGATAAAGATAAGACAATACAGACGAAAAAAGCGAAAATGTTTTGACGTATTCTTTTTATAATATAAACGTTCATTTTCCTTGCTTTGCACATGACGCTGTCATTTCGTCTATTACTTATTTAAAATTTCCACATTGTTCTATGTATTAAAAATTAGAAATTAAAGTTAATGACCTAAAACTGCAGTAGTATATTACAGTACAAGTGAAAAAATTGACAGTTTTACTCACGCTTGTGTCGGATTTGTGCTATACTTATGGGGATCCCACAAAATTTTTGTAAATATTATGGGGTCCTGGGGGTCGCAAAAACGTAAAAAGTTTAAGAAACCCTGCTGTAAATCATAGAAGTTGTAAATGATGGAACAAAACTGTAAAGATTAATCAATTTAGAAATTTGGTTTGAATATTACATACATTTCTGGAAGAAACATTTAAATATTTCAGCACTGAAAGTAATCATAAAAGTGTCAAATGAAAACATCTTGATTATTACAGTTTCAATCAGAAGTACATCAGCTCAAAAGTTACAGAATTTTTTTAAGTCTTATAAAATTGGTTAATTTATATCTTATTATTTCAACAACTTATTCACAGAGTTAAGATATTTTATTAATGATAAACACTGAATTTATATGCATACCACTAAATAACTTAACTGCATATATACATGCAACACAGGTCCCAAAGAAAAATTAAATAAATCACTATTACATGTCAGTTTTAATTACATAAATCAAATTTTGTTTAAAACATGCTAATAAATAAGCCTGCCATTATTGCTGATAAAAAAATGTTCAAATCAGCTAATTTTTTTTAGTGTCATGATAATGCTTGTTTAAATGTCATTTAAAAGTTCTTATATTTTTACTTTCTCTTTGTTTTGCTCTGTTATTCTTTCATATACACAGAAAATGGAAGTTAAAATTCCTAATATATGATCGAATAAAGATAAAATCATTAGTTTTTGCACAATTGCTATGCTAAAAAAATTAAATATGCAATGTGCAGTGCATATTTATAGTCCAAAATGAATTGTTAAGAAAATAACTAAAATATTGTTTTTACAGTTAGAAAATGCTTATGAAGATAAAACTTTCCCAGCTTTAAATACCTAAACCTGCTATTTGTTTTATGTCTTGCTGACATTTATTTTTGAAAAATTTCTATTATTTATTTCCAAGTGGGAAAAATGTAGATAACAGGATTGTAGTACGATATGCTAAACAAAATTTTATTTCTTCTTGAAGATTTGGAAGAAGATGGGAAGATATTAGTCATGTCCAGTCTCACTGTTAGAATCTAAAAAATTGTATTCAGTGTATATATGTGTTTGTGTATACAAAAAGGTACTTATGTATGCATTCATTGATATTGAATTTCTGTTTCATATAATAATTCTGTTTTTATTAATGGATTTTTCTTCTCATCAGGTATTTACATTCTCAACTGTTCGAGTGAATAGTCCTTTGCAATTAGAAGTAAACAAAAAAAAGTTGGGTAGAGATGTGTTAGCTGCTCCAAGACTTTCTGTTACTTTAAAGAATGATTAATATTTTCATTACATTCCTCATTGCATTTATAAGCTATGTTCTGATGCATAATAAACTTCGTTTTTTTATGATTTATAAAATATAAGTATCTTTATTATTCATAATTTTTTAATGTTACATAGCTTAATATTGGTTTCTAAATATATATATTTTCGTAATTATTCTATAAGAGGATATGTGCTGTTTTCATTGTTGGTTAAAATATCTTAAATTCTAGGGACATTTAAAAATATAACATAGTTAGAATTAATGCACCAAATCTAATCATCATCATATAACATTATTTTTTTAATAATATAAAGCTGTCACCATATATTTTTTCTCTAAATAAAATCATCATCATTCAGAATTACTTTTTGAATATAAAAGCTGTCACTATATATTTGTATTAAACCATCAAAGAATAACAGTTTGTAATGTAATTATAAGTATTAGACTGTTCAATACTGAAAACATCCAATAATAAATTGACTCCTTTAAAAATCTGATGTAACTTTTCTACTAAGAAAATATTTTACATTTTTAACATTTCTTAATTCATTTTAAAGAAATTTTTGCAATGAAAATTCTGTAGTAGTATATGAAATGTATTTTAATGCACCTAAAATTAATTACTTTTGACTTGTCAATTTGAAAAGTGTCATCAGTAGCTTTGAACAATCTTTGAACTCCAATACGACCTATTTTACTTTTTTTTTTTTAATTATTATTTAAGATGGCAAGTGGCCTTTTGATATTTTTTTAATTATTAAAATCATTCAAAGGATTCAAAACAGTGGAGTGGATAAAGATTAAACACCAATTTGGATAATAGTATTAGATAGGCCAAAAATGTTATACTTTCTCTAGGAGCTCTTGCTTATTTTTACTGCATTTGAAACAGCTTTATTAAATTGTACTAACACAGCTATCATGTCAGTATCCATTAAAAATACTTTCGAAAACTGATGAACTTTCATGAAAGCATTTTAGTATAAAATGACTGGACATAAGCAATGTTTTTTGCCTATTATACAGAGGATGTTTACACATTTTTAGAATGATTAAGTTGCTGTTTAATTAATATTTAATATATAAAGTGTATTAATATTTTTATTGCTTAAATATTCGATCTGTTAGCTTTTTTATGGACTATATTTCTGCATCATGATTTCCATGAGAGAAGGGCTTTTCGTAAAATTTCCAAGGGTATTGATTTCCACTACTATCCAGAATCCATCAATCACGGTGGGTTTATGCTTAGAGCTTTTTTCAAGAGATTAAAGTCCATGGAGTAAGGTTACTTCGCAGGAATATGTTGAAGAAGTATATTTTCAATACCCGTAATCAGTCTTCATTGTTTCAAGGAATGCAGTGATGCAGTGGTCATTTTTGAAGTACGACTTGTTGATTTATCACGATGAAATTTCACTATTTGAAAGTCACTGGGATTGAGAGATGGAATTTCTTATGTAAGTATTAAATGTAAAACTTTCCTCTTGATAGTACATTAAGTTGATTTTAACATTTTTATTGCATTGTTCGTATTTTTAGCTTTACCCTGTAAGAGAATCATAACCCCCCTACTGAAACTTTCTTTGCATTAATGGTTCATGCCTTTTTTTTTTTTCTTTTGGCAAAGAAAAGCACACAATGAAAGGTGTGTGCCCTTTAAGTAAACCCATTTTCATTTATGTCCTTTTAAATAGTTTTCATACAGGGTTCTACAAATTGTTCTGCATTGAGCCACGTGCCTTGGCAAAAGCTGATCATTTTGAGTTTTAACATTTTTTAGTTGTAAATCTTGATTTATTATTTTATTTATTGTTGCTACAGATGTATTTAAAGCCTTTGCAATTGATTTCCATGTAAGTGGCATTTCTCTTATTACCAACGATTTAACTTTAGAAACTGTACATAGCTTTTCAGGGTATTTATTCATTGGGAGTCTTTTTTTCAATGTCATGTAATAGCAATGATTGATAAGTTTTCCCTTTCTGATTAATAATGTTGCTTATATTGCTTTTAGAAATTTTAATACCATGCATTTCACAATGTTTTTGAATTATGGAATAGGAAAATTCACGCAATTCAGAATTCTTTTCGAAAACCAGAAAAACATTTGCCTCAATCTGCAGCTTGGTTACATGCAACATTTTGAAAGAAGAATAAATTTAAAAGTAGCAGATGATATTTCTCATTTAAAATAACAAGTTGTTGCCAAAAGTTTTTATTTAAAAAAAATTCTTTATCAAAATTCTTCTAAAAAGTGATCTGTAGCTTATTATTTCCAAAAAAGTAAAAGTGAACATAAAATGCTGAAACAAATTTATGCAATGTATGAAGAAGTTGCAGTGACTGAATGAACATATGAAAAGTGGTTTTTGAAGTTTAGTAAAGACGAGTTGAAATAGAGAGGTCAAATTGAAACTTTGAGAACACACAGGAAAAACAGCTTGCACTCAAAATATTTAAACAAAAATCATTCGCATTGTTGGCTGAAAATCATTGATATCGCTTTAGTTCCGTTCATCACTTTGAAATTTGGGTTCCAAGTTAATTAATAATAAATATCTTTTAACTCTCTATTGAAATTGTAACATATTAAAACTAATTATAACCAGGTGATAAAAAATGAGAGATTAATAACAAATAAAATGAATTGTCACCAACCACATTAAACCATTGTCACAACCTGTATAGTTATGTATATAATGCGAGATTGGGAAGGAGTTTTCTATTATGAACTCAGACTGAAAAACTAAATAATTAAATCTTATAAATATTGCTTCCGGTTAGATCAACTGAAAGCTAGTGTTTCGGAATTAATAAACAAAAAAGTATAATCTTCCATCAGGATAATGCACATATTTGTTTTATGATGGAAAAAAAATATACAGCTTGGTCGGTAAACTGATTTAACAGACATTGTTTTCTTGAATTTTCATTTATTTTTTGTCTTAATAGAATTCTCTTAACGGAGAGTTTCATTGCTCTAGAAGATTGCTAATGATACATGGAGCACGTTTAACACGTTGACTGCCACAGCCAAATTGATAAAATACTCTTATCGGACCATTTTTTTTAAAAATTCTAATACTTTCTTATTCCATTTATCCTAAAAATCAGATTAGTACTTCAGAGAAATAACAGTTATTTAAAAGTTACGGCAGCTAAATATACATTAAAATCATAAAAATTTATGATATAAAGGTTCTAGAAACTGGAGACCAAGAATACAGAACAACTTTCTGAGGCCCTAGGAATAATTTTAACCATATAAATCTGTGTATTTGTGAAGTACTGGTAACTCACATGGCTTCAAACAATAAAAAAGTCATGAATCGTCTGTGATGCACATATCAGTCAAGGTGTTAAAAAAGATACAAGTTTGGAAAAAAAGAATTATGAAATTGTCCGATTGATGGAAGAAGGTAGTAAGTAATGAATACATTTAACATTAGACTAAAAAGCGACATCAGAAATAACTTTTAATATTTTGAGAAAGGTAAAGAATTTTTATTCAAAATCTATACCAAACTAAGGTTCTTTTTTGCCTAATTTAAAATTTTCATTGGTATTCACCTTATTCATTTTGCATTTGAGCGAATGCATTATTCAATAAAATAAGTGGTAAAAATGAAAATGTCTCTCATTTTTACCACTGAAACAAAAATTAGAATGAATTTTTTGGCCAATCTAGTTATTAGCAAAATTAAACCCTTTTGTCTGCTGTTGATTTCAAGAGCAAAGCTCAGTGCATTTTAAGAAACAACTGTAGTTTGGAATGCATTTCAACATTATTTAAAATAATAAAAAAAAGGAGGTAATTTTTCTAGTTAACACCAATTTGTGAAGTAAAACTTTATTGTAAATTTGGTTATTTTGTTTAATACATACAGGTTTGTGAAAGATTATAAAGGTGACAACTTCAAAGAAATAAATTGGGTGGCAAATTAAAGGTCAAATCCAGAATAAAATAATGTTCTTTGTCATCTACTTGAAACTTGATTAATAACCATGTTCAGTTTATATAACTTCACATTAATTTAAATGCCTGCAGAGAAAGGCTTTTTTCCCCCTTCAGTGTGCTATTTTTATTGCATTTTGTCATTTGTATTATTTTTCGTGATGCACAAAATCATTCAGAAATCAAATATAGTCATTTGACCATTCCACTTAATTTTGGTCTGTGGATTTAACAGTCTAGTTCTAATTACTTTCAATGACTACATATTAATGATTTAATCCAGAAAGTTACAATATGATGTTACAAGAAAATAACTATATTCACTCAGCTACCTGTTTAAAAAGAATAATATTGAATATGGTGCATTGCTGAAATAAAATTGATAACGGCTGATAAGCTGTAGTATTACACACTGGGATAGAACTGCAAAGTTAAAAGAATTTTGGAACCAAACATTTTACTGCTTGGTTGGGAATGGCTAATAAATTCCAAATCCATTAACTTCTGTTAAATTAATAATCAAATTACATTTAATAGCTTCTATAAAGTTGAACAGAATTTATAACTATTTTGGCAACATTTCTTTATTGCATTCTACGAATTTCTGTGCCTTACAGTTTCTTTTTTATTCAGAGTATTATTTCACTAGTAGATGAAATATTGTCCATGTTGCATTGTTTGCAAATTTAGTTTGAAAAGTAAGATTTGTACTGCACAAAAATGCCTCAAGCTGTTACATTATCTAACATACTTCTGAATTAATACTTACCATAGTTGGAGTCCAGCAATTTTGTACTTGGAAGGTTATAAGAACTAGTTTAAGAAAATAAAAATAAGGATGAGCTTTATCTGTGATGTAATTATGCCCTTTTGATGGCATAACTGTTTCACAATTCTTGAGACAATGTTTATGTCATTACGTATACCAGTGAATTTATTACCAGTTCCCCAATTTTCCTTTATCGGACATCAGAATATCATTCCCCCCTTTCTGATGTACAACTAATCATTAACTCATCACAAACTTTTAAAGTAAATATTATGGTAGTTTGAAAGAATACCAACACTCCAAAACTAATTTTAATGAGGGTAACACATATGTGTGCCTTTTCCCTTACCCGTTTTAAGATG